AAAAAAAAAAAAAAAGGACACAGGATTCATGATCTATACAAAACAAGGCAAAGAATGTTAATGGTGAAGTAATGATGAATGGACTGCACGGATGGAGATGCAACGACTGGACGGGGATCTCCCAAAGGGGCTCCACTCGCTACATTTCTTCGGGACTTTCTAGTCTCAGCGACCTTCCCAGGCTTGGGAGGATTTTCGTCAAATAATATGGCGGCTGTTAATTATTAGTATTATTATTATCATTATTATTACTCTGACGGATTCAAATGGCTGATGATTTGGCTTGGTTCCCATTTTCGTTCATCCGGAGACATGGAGGAACACCAATAATACACGCAGTATAGGTAAAAAGGACACTAGTGATTTTATCTTCTGCTCCACCGACGCATGGCAAAATCGTCCTGGGTCCAGGTCCCCCAAAGTCAGTGCTCAACCTCGCCTCGCCTTGGTTGATGTTATTTTAATCTCCCTCCATTGTCTGGCTTCTCTCGTGCGAGTACTGTCCTTTTAAGTCTAATGGTTCCCCCTCCTCCCTTCTCCCCGCTATCATTATCGTTGTGGTCTCTCTGCCCTTCTACATCCCTGATCCTCTCCCCTCTTCCGGACATAACATCATCATACAGTACTGGTAGTTGACTGTTGATTCCACTACTACGACCACTTGCCACCCTTCCGAGAACTATATCTACACGATCTTCCTATCAAACCCAATATCTACTGGGAACTTACTTTCTGCCGAACAAATCCCCACACATTCACCACATTCACGGCGTCATCGATCTGGGTTGCCACTTGCAATGATTCAGTGGTTCCCGTCAACTTTACACCCTTCACCACACCAGATCTAAAGATTCACTGGTGATTGCCATTGTCATTCGAAGAATAACCACGATCCCTTGATTACGACGACTTTCTGTTCCTCTCGCTGGTGATCGTATTTATCTATCTGTCTCTCCACCGCCATCGATTCACGATTATTCCCACCACGATTATTCCCACCACGATTTCTACTTGGACCATCCATATCTCGTATTACAATCATGGCTACTCACGTTCTCACCGCCACCACTAGTCCTACCAACCAGATCTCGGTCTACGGCCAGCCGTCGCCGATCAACACCGCCAATAACTCTCCGACCTCCCCGCGTCAGCAGTATCTCCCCCTGCAGACTCGCCAGTTGCGTCCACCCAAGGGACCTCTCTACGTGCCCGCTGCCTTGCGCCCGACCGAGCGTCCTCAGAAGACGTCTCCTCCATCCCCCCCTCGCAGTATCCATGGCTCCCTGGACAGCTTGAATGATGGCAGCGAGGAACCCCAGCCGGCCCTGACTCGTCGTTCCACCATCGAGAGTGCGGTGAGCGATGGCATTAGCAAGCTGGCTCAGGATGAATGGATGAAGCATGAACATCTTGGTGAAGTCACTGGTCTTCCTACAAGAGATCACTGGAAGGTACGTTCAAAATCTCCCATCCCATTTCCTCAGAATCAAAGCACGGTCGCTCTGGGGTCGTGTGTGCTTTATATCCCTCGTATGACGTGCGCGCGGCTCTGGATGTCGCGTGGATCATCGGATGGCGAATCATGGCGTGATCTGATGTCACCCACCGTACTGAGCCTACCTTTGTTCGACTCAATCACCCAAGCAGTGGCTAACAGACATGCAATAGGCGGACTCAGCCTCTCCCAACTGTGACTCGCCCACATGCCGCTCCTCGTTCGGTCTCTTCCTTCGTCGCCATCACTGCCGCCACTGCGGTCATGTCTTCTGTTCTTCTCACACTCCCCATGTCGTCCCTCTTGACCAGGATGCTCGCTTCCACCCCGAAGGCGTTCCCTCTCGGGCCTGTGACCTGTGCTGGCATGCCTTCCAGCGCTGGGAGGAGTCGCGCAGCGAGCGTCTCAACAAGATCCAGACCTTGATCGAGGCACAGAACATCAAGACTGAGGAAGCGGCCGAGGAGACCACGGAGCATGTGGACAACATCGAGGAAGAATCCAGGAAGGCACTCACTGCGATGCTGGGTCAGAGCACCGAGATTGCCGCCAGCATCCCTCGCGGCTGGAACTGGAGTACCTTCTAATCTACTCAACTTTTGAGTCTTGCTGTCGATGCCCTTTGGTGCCATCGATCCCACTCTTTTGACGCATCTGCTTTGGCGGACTTGCTCTACATACACGCGGTCTAGAACATACTTGGCTTTCGCTTCGGCGTAGCATCTGGGATTTAGCATTTCGGTTACTTGCACGGTGTTCGGATCTGGTTTCCACCTTATGGCTTATGGTTTTTTTTTTTTTTTTTTTCTTCCGGCGTTCAGCTCGCTACCACTCGATCGTCATAGAAACGGGGGGTTGTTCTTTCTAATCTTCGTTCTGCTCTCTTACTGGATACCCCGTCATGTTGCTTATGCACGGCGATCTTTTACGATTTACTCTGGCGCTATGGAAGGGTTTTATGGTAATACAGGTGTTGGTAATGCAATATGAGAATCTATCAACTATGTCTATCCACATGTAAACCGTAGTATATTACTTGTAGGACATTACTTGTAGTATATATACATTCCCATCCTGCTCGAACTGCAGCCTGTTCACCCAACATGTTGAATCCACCCCTAATCCCACACACCAAGCTCTGATCCATCACAAACCCCAACCGCCGATACAAGCCTTTCACCGCGGGGTCTCACACTACCTCACTTCCCTCCTTAGACAATCCTTCTACAAAACTGTTGAGCCTGACTAGAACATGCACAAATTCACGCCAAAATACAACCCGCCAATCTTTTCTCAGGCCCCTCAATATCCTCACCTCCACAACCCTCGTAATCTTCCTCACCCCTCCCGGAGGCGTACGAACCTCAGGCAGCGTATGCTGCAGCGGAACAAGCCGAATTATATCGCGATGGATATTTTCTACCCTTCTCCATTGTCACCTGGCTCCTCTATCCAACATTTCTCGTCTCTTCTTGTTTAGTGGTGAGTTAGTATGTTAGTATACCGATGTGGTTGGGTTGGGGAGGTTAGTGGGCTGATTGCGCATTGGCGTTCGTTTGATGGCATGAAGTAGGCTTCAGAGTACGGGGTATATATATTGGGAAAAGTATCAAATATAGAATAGAGAAAATGGTCGTCCATGGAGGAGCCTAAGTGGAGTGGGATAGGATCATTTACATACTTCGGCGATGCGGAGATAAGGGGACATGGCGATACATGGTATCCATGTAGATAATGGCGAGTCCTTGCATGCGCTCATCACGCATTAGTATAATCAGATCGTTCCAGAAACTCAATATTCTAGCTTATTATCTACAGAGCTAAGATAACCGTAAATAGACCAACCTAAAATTCTCTCTATGGACCGCAATTCCCTCTTGCATCCACCGAACTATACGATCGATAACGCCTGCAAACAAAACAAACACCACTTTTCTTTCTCCATCAATCCTCCAAAAAAAATATTCCAAACCGACCCAACAACCACCAACTCTCAAGAGAGAGAGAGAGAGAGAGACACCAAAAATGTCGCTCTACTACGACGCCGTCAAGATCCTCACAAGCCCCTCCCCGACCGGCGGCTCCTTCAAATCCCGCATCTACAACGCCCGCAACCTCAAAGCCAACCCGGCGCAAATCTATGCCCTCACCATCGAAGCCGCGAAATGGGACACCGTCCTCAAGGAAGTAATCGACCATGCTGGCATCCTGAAACTCGAGCCCAAGGTTCGTGGACTGACCCTTTCATTCCCCCACCCGGAAAGAGGAGGAGGAGGGAACCGGATAATGCGTAGCTAATTATCCTGGCTGACCTGGCGCAAAGTGATCTAATCTCTTTTCTTCCGGACTATCTAGCTCACACCACTGCTGGCTCTCCTGCTGGTGCACGACCACCTTCTGGCGAAGAATGGCATCGCGGCGCCAAGCTCGCATCCCATCCGCCAGGCCATCGAGCGGCATAAGACGCGACTGAAGGGCGAATTCATCAAGGCGCGGGTGCGCCGCGGGTGCGCATCGATCGAGCAACTCAAGGACGCCGTGCAAAAGGAGAAACAGCCGCAGGGCTCGGCGGCGTTTTACCCGCGGTGGATCCGGATCAACAACGTGCGCACCACGGCGGAGAAACAGTTCGAGAGCACCTTCGCGTCGTATACCCGGGTGGCTGCGCTGTCGGAGCTGGCGGTCAAGGACGACACGAAGAGGATCTACGTCGACGCCCATATCCCGGACCTGGTGGCGGTGGCTCCCGGGGTTGACTTCACGGCCACCCCGGCGTACAAGAACGGGGAGATCATCCTGCAGGATAAGGCGTCTTGTTTTCCGGCGTATTTGTTGTTCGGGGCGGGAAGTGTGTGGGATGGTGGGGATTTGGTAGATGGGTGTGCTGCGCCGGGGAATAAGACGACGCATTTGGCATCGCTGCTGTGCAAGGGTGAGAAGAGGAAGAGGCCAAGACAGCGGATTATTTCCATGGATGCATCGCAGGTACGCGCGAAGACGCTCCAGAAGATGGTTGCGGCGGCGGGCGCGGATCACTTCACGACGGTGCTTCCTGGACAGGACTTTTTGGCGCTGGACCCTGAGGACGAGAGGTTTGAGAAGGTCTCTGCGTTGTTGCTGGATCCCAGTTGTTCGGGGAGTGGGATCATTGGGCGAGATGATGTTCCGAAGTTTGTTCTTCCGGTGTCGCCGGCGGAGGAGAGGAAGAAGCAGGGGAAGAAGAGGAAACGGGGGCAGAATGAGACCGAGGGTGCTGCGGAGGGGTCGGTGTCGATGTCCGCTACGGATGAGAACGAGATGGCCAGTACGCATTTGGACCTGGAGCGGTTGACGAAGCTGTCGAATCTGCAAACGCGCATTGTGGAGCATGCGATGTCGTTTCCGACTGCTACACGCATTACATACAGTACTTGTTCCATCCATCTCACCGAGAATGAGTCGGTTGTTGAGCGGCTTTTGGCGTCTGAGGTGGCAAAGCGTCGTGGGTGGAGAATTATGCGCAGGGACGAGCAACCAGAGGGACTGAGGACATGGAAGCACAGAGGTGTGCGGACTGAAAGCCGGAGTTCCGACGACAGCCAGACACAGGACGGTACACGGAGCGCTGAGCTCAAGGTTGACCTCTCCGATGAAGAGCTGGAAGGCTGCCTGAGATGTTGGCCTGGCGATGACGAAGGGCTGGGTGGATTCTTCGTTGCGGGATTCATCAGGGACGAGAGTCTAGTTGGTCAACAGGAGAATTCTCAACATGGACCTGACAAGAACGAGGATGAAGATGACGAAGAGGAAGACGACGAAAACGATGAAGATGAATGGGCAGGCTTCTCCGACTAGACTGAGTCCATCCGCCTTCCACCGCACCGCTAGTATACTTGATGTACATCTACTACTATAAAACCTTTCATGTTACAATGGACAATATCCCAATTTATTTTATAAATATCACTACTACATTCAATCCAAAGTGACAAGCCAGCTATACGTACCAAACACAATGCCTTCCTCAAACCATGCCTCTACTCAAGATACACAACCCCTACAACAACCCTAAAGCACCAACGACCAATTCCATTAAATGTTTGCGCTGTGTGCACATGGCCTACCACATCCCAACCAAGACAAGACCTCAGCCCTCATACTAATCCACCAAACAACAAACAACATCCTCACCTCACCAACTCAACCCAACTATACCGACCCAAACCAACCAACCCACCAAAATGCCCTCAACTGACAGTCTGCGTTCGTCCATCCCCCATCAAAGAAACCCCCAGAACCACCTCTCACGCCTCCCGAACGAGCCATCGTCAAGTCCTACGGCGGGTGGACGAACTTCCTCCTCAGCTATGGATTGAAGCCGGGGAATAACGAGGATGCGGAGGAGGGATTGTTGATTCTGAAGGGGTTGGTGGAGTATAGTGCTTAGGTTTGCTTGTTTCTTGTGTTCTCTTCTGGGGGTAGGTTGGGGGGTATGTGTTTTGTGTTTGATAATCACTCTTACTCTTCATCGGACATGATATAGTAAATGTATAACAGTGGGCGGGGTGGGAACAGAGGACAATGCGCATGTTGGTTCAAGGATATCAGTACTAAGACCCCAGAAACGCCCGTGTATGATTCCGACTCCGCTGCTCTGTATATGCATCCAGTTTCACCGCTGCCAGGATGAACTCGAGTCTGTCGCCGGTGGCATTCGGGCGGAAACCTAGACGCCAATGACCATTCCGGACGATATGCCGTCCGCCCTCTTTTGATGGCTCTTCCACTCGTCTGCGCTTAGCTGCAGGTTGCGACGGATCTGCCTGTTCGGATCCTTGTGCGAAGGCTTCTAGACACCGGACCTGTCCGTCGATGGTCAAGTCCGTGTCTCGTTCGACACACACCTTAACACTGGGCGAGGTGGATTGACCTTCCGACAGGCCTGGGAGGTTTACCTTTCCCGTTACGACCTGCAGCAAGCTGGAGAAGCGCGCCTTAGTCGAGTTTAGGAATTCGATGTGCTTGGTATCAAGGTCGACGATGGTGGTTTCGTCACCGATCTCAAGAATCAGGTCATATGTTTCCTCATCGACGTACGGGCGCGAGTACGTGGCCCAGCCGCTGGACGGGGTTGAGGCGGGGTGGGCAACGCTAACTCCTGAGCGGCGCACATCCTCCAGGCGGACGACGATTTCCGATCGTTGTCGGATCGGGTTGAAACTGATATGATGTGGAATCAACTTTTGCTCTAACCCGCGTAGGTGAAAATAGCGACAATCGCGTAGCAGTTCGGCGCGGTGTGTTTCATTCTTGATGTCCAATGGGTATCCGCGCAGGAGGTGGAGGAGCTGCGCGAAAACTTCTCCCGATCGATTCGGCACACTTGGTGGGATAATGGCTGGGGGACGTAAAAGGCCGTGACGATCGAGTCCGGGGAAGATCTCAGTCGGGGAGGCAAAGAAGGCACCGAAGCCTAGGGAGAAGAAGTTTGGGGAGTCGCCGGGACTAGAGAAGATGTCGCGCGGGATTTGGAAATCCTTGTCGCCGATTTGAATGAAGATCTCGGATTCGAAGAGTTGGGAGATAAGGCGGGGCACTAGCAGCAATGCGAGTCAGTCGTGGATTCAATATTCCAGGTAAACGATAGATAGACATACAAGTATAGAACTGCGCATCAGCGAAGAATTGTACAAACTCCGTGCCATCTTTGGGCCGAATATGATAGCCTGTCACATCGGACGAGAACGTCAACACCGGCCACAATCCAATTCCAATGTGCCGCGCCTACCCTGTAGATGCCTTGCGATCGCTTTAAATGTGTTCGGATCGCGATCAATGTACAGTGTCCGGATCTTCGAGCCGTCGGGCGTCTGGCGCAGCTGCTCCTCGAAGAACTGGGAGAAATAGGACGGAGCTCCAAGACTTTAGCGGGGATCAGTCACTGCGACCGGAGAACCACTAACCATCGGAGGCTATCGACGCTCCTGAGACACGGAAGAGTTCGGTTCCGATTTGAATTGAGAAGACTTTCTCGGGGGGCAGCGTGCATTTCGGTCGTGGCTGCGACGGAGATGGACCGGGCTGCGGTGTGGATGTGGATCGGTCGCTCATAGCTGTCTCTGGGGCAATTGCAATCCGGTATTAGCATTGCAGGTTTTTACTCAACAATCCCTGCACAAGATCTGCATTAGGATGGGAAAGGGTGCCATACCGTAGCTGTGGTTTTACGCTGAGATGCAGCAGTTGATGAGAATAGACACAAGGGAAGGCGGTGTCGCTTGACGTATGGAGCTTATCGGCCGCTTGGTCTGTGCACGTGCAGTATCAATGCATTTGTATACAATCGGACACTGATGGCCATACAAAAGATATCTGTTCAACTATAGCTAGAAGAACTTGGTATTATATGTGAGGTATCATGGGTGGAAGAACTGGAAGGTCACCCCAACATGGCTGTTGGGTTGGTTTACCTATAGCTTTCTTCTAGGAATATTTATATTGAGCGTAGACCAGGAGTACTTCATTGTTTCAACATTCTATTTAGTAAACAGTTTCTAGTAATAGATCAACACCGTCATGCTACTAAGAAATATGTGAATCTCTCAGTGGGTTAATCTGAGAATGTGTCGTGTGTAGTACAAGGTGCTCACGCAGTTATCTACGATATATGAACTGGCTGTACGTCTGGGTGGAGGATATAAACTGTCAAACATAACACAATGGAATGACTAGGTTAAAAAATACCACGTTCAGGAACAGGTATTTACCTTAAATGCACTCACAGGGCCCTGAGATATATGTAGTTGTCTATTAATCTTGGCGATTGCTTTTGTTTTGCATGGATTATTTGTTAAACATGGTTCCCTTTTAAAAAAAAGTGGCATTGCGAGCGAACAAAGAAAGGACTTCGCCTTTCAAAGCGACGGAGTAACGCCCCTTTGACATTCACTTGGGGAGTAGAGGAAGTCTTGGAAGGTCCTCGATATGAAGTAGTTCTATAGTCGACGTGCTGACATGCTCGTCCATCAAATTGGAGCTTTTGACGGATATGTTATATAACTGTAATCTTGAATGTTAGAAGAGTATAGACTAACAGCTTCTCATAAATACACGGGTGTGATCAACTAGTGATCGGTCTGGAGTTAAGCGGCAAAGCCCGGAATCTCTCTGTTTAGAATGTCTCTTCTTTGTAGCCCAAGAAAGAAGGAAATTTTTATTATTAGCATTGCAGTCAAGCTTAGTGATGTAATTCACTGTATAAGACCTGTACACGTTACACTGGTGCACTGCATGGAGGCGGGACAGAGGCACGTAACGATGCATATAAAAGTCCTGACAGGCCAATATAGAAACAATGTATCTACCCTGTTCAAGCTTTAACCTCAACCTGTCAAGGAGACCTTCCTCACTCATAACACTACAAAACCTCTTACTATCTACAAGCGGAGTACCTCAGCATCGTCCTATTCCTTTCCCTCTTCATCCCATAAAGGAGAACTACCAAAAATGCGCAAAATAGATGTTCTAACAACTGTTGCTAACAATGGCACAACCAGCTTCACGCGTCTCTACCGCACTAAGAGTGAACGCACACCTGTTCCCACTGACAAAATCCTCAAAAACCCCTCAGCCTACCGATTCGTCTTCCAGAACCCACTGGACCTGCACAAGCTCCTCGAAGACCCCGATCCCGCCAGCGTGGCCATATGCCAGGGTATGAAAATGCTACGACTGGACTTCCTACAGCCCTTTGCAGATAACAAGTTGTATTTCATGGAAGCCATGGACGAAGATGCTAAGAGCGTTGATCTGCGGGCCCTCATGGAGAACTGGAGAAATGCGTGTCGGAATATACCAAGGCAGCATGGTCTCGAGGAGCTTACGTTTGACGTGTCCAGTGCAAATGAGCTGTGCAAGTTGCGCATAACTTGCAGAACAATTCAGCTGATCAGTACGACTCTGGTTCTTAAGGCCGCACAGAATTTGCGGTGTTGGATTCAAGGGGCGGGCAACTCGAACCATATGCAGATGCGCCATGTTCACAAGTCTCTTGTTAGTCGCTAGTGTTCGGGGTTGGGTGTTGAGTAGTGGTTGAGATACTCTGGTTGGTCTAGAGAGGTATTTGATATGGTTGGAAGACTCTTGGTGTTAATAGGTGCTGCTCTGGCGGTCTGGCTTCAGCGATGGACACGGGACTTTCTGAGAAGTTGTAGGTGTCATGGAATATTTTTAATTCAACTGAATGCTAGCAAATCTGGCGTAGATTTTTCTACCAAGCAAAATAGATCTATTAGATGTGAAAAAAAGTTCGCAAGAGGTCCAGACAATATAGCACTTGGCGTATGGTGTCCTATCTGAATCACTCGTGTATGAAGGATCACTGAAGCCCGTATCGAATTGCCTGGTAGTATAGTGAATTGTTAAGCCAGTTGCTGACATGCTGCAAGTTCAGACACAAGAACTTGCAACACTGAGGAGTTCTTCTGCTCAGGGAATCGATAGCTATGGGAGTTACAAGAAACACAACAAGTCTTCCCCATTAGCTCAATTGATTGAGACACGGCCCAGACCCTGTAGCTCCAATCTTCTTTTGTTGTTGCCACTAGAGTATCGGTCACAGAGCTGCATCACTGCTCCGGGGTCACGACATCAGCGAATACTATGTAATTAGGTAGTCCTTGCGAGGTAATATACGTAAATGGGGAGGTGCAGAGGAGCCAGGCACGTGAAGTCAGATGATACTAATCCATGATAGGTATAGACGTCTGCCTGAGGCGCAGAAGTTACCCAATGAGGACAAGATTGGTTCTCCTGACACTCCACACAACGACGGAGCACGAATGAATCCTCCTCAGTGTCCAAGGAAGAGCGCTGATGGTGATGACAATCAGGCCACCTCATAGCGTTCCTATTGGCGACGGATCCAGTCGGATGATCGAGTGAAGATCATCCTTCTACCCAGTGATCGGACAGTCTGTCCGTCCATGACTTGAAGTCTGGTTCGTCTTATCCACGAATCCACGATTTCACATGGAATGGCAGCAAAAGTCTCGGCTCTTTTCTCCCCCGCACTCGCGCAGACAACCCAAGTTTAGCTCCTGCAATGATCATCAGCCATAAGCTGATTGACTCCTTCTCCAACCATGGGGAAGGCCTGACCCACATGGCCCGACGGGCTGCCTGCAATAGCCTCGGCTCCTCCCTTAATCCTCAGTCGGAAGCTGCATTGGCAGGCACTGGTCATGGTCTGGGGTAGAGGCTCAGATCTGGAAGGACAATTGGGTGTCTTCAAAATTGGGCCCTGGACCCGAGACTAAAATCTGCCCCACCGGTGCCTTCGCAAGCACTACTCTTCTGGGTGAATGTCATGGCACGGAAGGCGCATTGACGCCGTCTTTGTTCGATGATTTTGTTACCTTCACCTCCAGTCGGTTTATTACCCACTTGTTCTCTCCCTGATTTACCACCAGCGTCATATAGCCCTTGTTTCCCCAACATTCCTACATTGTAACATTTTTATCTTGTCGGTCAACGTCCCGAAATGGCTGAACAAGCCGTCGCTTACACTCCCCTGGAGGTTCCTATTCCTCCGGTGCCTACCAAGGAGGTCTTCTCCGAACTTCAGTGGGCTACTTTGATGGCTATAGCGGATACGGTTATTCCATCCATTCGTGGCCCTAACGCTCCGAAATCGTTTACTACCAAAGTGATTCCGCAGGCCCAGTTCGATGCCGGCCTCTCATCATTAACGGCCAGCATCTCCGGGTCTGATGCAACCTCTCTGGCAACGCAGTACCTGGAAGAAAATGCCTCGTCGAATCCTCGTTTCCGGCCGGGGCTACAGCGCCTTATCTCGGAGTATGTCCATGAGGAAGGCAGGAATGGGCTTAGCTTCATATTGAATACGCTAAAGTATGTGTTCTTGAATCTCAGTTTTGAGGGATAATGTAGTTGACCCTACTATAGCACGAGGGCTGGTTCTTTGATTTTGACGGGATCAACCACCCCTATACAGGACCAGCCGTTCCATGTCCGGGAGAGAATATTTTGCGGCTGGGAGACATCGAGGCTAAAGCCTCTGCGCGTCATCTACCGAGCACTTTCAGCCATCTGCAAGAAGACATGGCTTACGTATAGCCCTACGTATTGCCCGACCATTGGATTCCCCCGTGTTCCGGTGCACGGAAGTCCCGCGGATGGTTTCGAGTACGAGTTCCTGCAGTTCCCGTCGGGAGATGGACCGGAGACAATCGAGACCGACGTCGTCATCGTCGGAAGTGGCTGTGGAGGTAGCGTAGCTGCCAAGAACCTCGCCGAAGCAGGCTATAAGGTTATAGTGGTCGAAAAGGCCTATCAATACTCAACAAAGCACTTCCCAATGAATTTTAGCGAGGGGTCGGTGACTATGTTTGAGGGCGGGGGTGCTCTCGCAACCGACGATGGCTCAATGGGGATCTTCGCCGGGGCAACCTGGGGAGGTGGCGGCACAATCAACTGGTCGGCAGCTCTTCAGACACAGAACTATGTTCGTGAGGAATGGGCGAAGGGCGGCTTGCCATTTTTCACATCACTGGAATTTCAAAACTCCCTGGATCGCGTGTGTGATCGGATGGGTGTCAGCGCAGATCATACGACTCACAACAAGCAGAACCGTGTTCTCCTGGAAGGAGCGCACAAACTAGGCTATGCCGCGAACCCTGTACCGCAAAACACCGGTGGTACGGAGCATTATTGTGGCCATTGCACGATGGGGTGCCATTCGGCGGGCAAGAAGGGTCCCACGGAATCGTTCTTGGCGGATGCTGCCCATGCTGGAGCCACCTTCGTGGAAGGCTTCCGTGCAGAAAAAGTCCTGTTCACCGAGACCAAGGGTGGCAGGGTGGCCTCGGGAGTAGAGGGCACATGGACCTCACGGGACGCATACCTCGGGGTGTCCGGAGCTAGTGGCGTGAAGCGCAAGCTCATTATTAAAGCGAAGCGGGTTGTCGTGTCTTGCGGCACGCTGCAAAGTCCCCTCCTGCTGCTACGCAGTGGTCTCAAGAACCCCCAGATTGGTCGAAATCTTCATCTCCATCCAGGTAAGCTTCCCCGGTCGCTTCGTAGGTAGCATACTCATTCCATGTCTAGTCGTTATCTCGGGAGCCGTGTTTGACGAGCAGACTCGTCCGTGGGAAGGAGCCGCCCTGACCGCTGTTGTCAATGAATTTGAGAACCTCGACAAACAAGGCCACGGAGTCAAGATCGAATGTCTCACAATGCTGCCTCCGGCCTTCCTTCCGGCCTTCCCCTGGCGGGACGGGCTGCAATGGAAGGAATTTGCAGCCAAGCTCTCCCACATGGCCGGCTTCATTAGCCTTACGAAGGATCGCGACACTGGCCGCGTATATCCGGACCCTGTCGATGGACGACCCCGGGTAGACTATACAGTTTCCGCCTTCGATCGCAAGCATATTCTCGAGGCACTAGTGGCTACAGCAAAGATAGCGTACATCTCCGGGGCCAAGGAGTTTCATACTTCGAGCCGTGAAGTCCCGCCTTTTATCCGGCCCGAGGATGCATCGGACCCTGCATCGCCGGAGGGCACGAACAATGCTGCCCTTCAGGCATGGATTGCGGAAGCCCGGAGCAAGACCCTCGACCCCGAGAAGACCACGTTTGCCGCGGCGCACCAGATGGGTAGCTGTCGCATGGGCAGCTCCCCGCGGACCAGCGTGGTGGACCCGGATTGTCAGGTCTGGGGCACGCGCGGATTGTACGTGGTCGACGCATCCGTATTCCCCAGCGCCAGTGGCGTCAATCCCATGGTAACCAACTTGGCCATTGCCGATTGGGCCAGCCAGAACATTGCCCGGTCGTTGAGCAAGGAGGGAGGCATCATGGCGCGTCTTTGATTGGCACTGGAAGTGTACAGGTTGAGGGCATCGCTTCGCCCTGATATGAAAATAATGAAGCATCATTATTAGTGTATTGTTAACGATACTCCATCCCGTGTGAATGAAAGCAGTGTTTCACTATATTCATATCGTATTATCTTTTTGATATTCAAATTCATTCCTCATAATTCCGACTGGGCATCAAGCCCGATCTCGCTAGAAAACAGACTCACTGAAAAGCAGGTCTCTTGTCAATGAACCTCTTCTCGCCAAACGCCTGCTTCACACCCTCACTCTCAATGGTCCTCTCATACCACGCCACCACAGCAGGATACTTCGCCCTCAGCTCCTCATCCAAGAGAAGCCCAAACGCCCAGTTCAGCGCCGCCGCGACACTAATATCCGCCAAACTCAACTTCTCCTCCGTAGCCAACCACTTCCTATCCCCAGCCTTCAAATGCGCCTCAACGGCACCCACCACCCTCTCCACCTTGGCCAATTGGCCCTCCAGCTCCTCCGCACTATACTGCGCCAGCTTCATATGCCACAGCGCAAACGGCACCACGGCGCCCATGCCGTCACCCTCCCCGAAGCAGCTCCACTGCCGGATGTGCGCGCGCTCCACCGCCGACGCGCCCAGCAGCTGGTCCTTGGCGGGGCCGCTCTCGGCGACGTACTGCGCGATGGCATCGGACTCGAAGAGCAGGGTGCCGTCGGTGCCTTCGAACGCGGGCGCTTTGCCCATGGGGAACTTGGCCAGGAATTCGGGGCTGCGGTTCGTCACGCCCATTTGGAAGTTTGGGTCGACGGTGATGTTGAGGGAGTTGAGGTTGCCGGCGGCTTGGATCTGTTTATTTGTTAGTTTGGTTTGGTTTGTGGTGTGGTGGTGATATATATTTGTATGGGTTGGGTTGTATGGTGGTGAGGGGTTATGTTGGAGGGGTATACACATACCTTCATAACCCGGGGGTTATTAGGATACGAGTAGATCTTTCCGAACGAAGCCATCTTGACTGTTTAGATTGTCGTGGATTAACTTGGACTGGTTCAGGAATTATTGATGCACTAGACTCGTCGATATAGACTTGTTTACAGGAGGTTAAGTGTAAGTGTCAGCAAATATAGCTGTATTTATAATTATTTATACTGCGGAGACGGTTGCCGAGAAGTTCGTCCGAGCCGAATCGCATCGAATTGCTTCCTCATATTCGCTCCCGGATGACAAATCCACATGTTTCTGGTTGAGCGGAATGAGCCGCGGTGTGAGCCGCGGTGGGGTTTCGCTGGAGACATCATTACTTTTTTTTTTTTTTTTTAATAAGGAGTGTAATGAGGGAAGAAGAGATTGTTGTTCTGCGGTTTGTGGTTTTTAGTTCTGGTGTATACATGAGACTATATATATGGTAGTTGACGGACTTAGAGTTTCGGTTAGGTTGCTGCTTAACTGTGTTAAGCTGTGATTTCCATGGTGTCGTCAGGTTGGATGCCGATGGTGCAAGCGCTTACTGGGTCTGGACTAGAGGGTAGGTGGCCGTTTAGTGTGGCTCTGACGTCGCTGGCTTGAGAATGAGTGCGATGGTTAGGTTTCATGGTGTGTCTGCGCAATCGGTATCTATTTTCACTACAATATGGATGTACATCTCCCCAAGATGAGAGCCACTTGGTTACCATTCTATATAGCATTATATATCCTTCTCCTTTCTCAGCGTCGGCTCATCCTCATCGACATCCCCACTCGACCGTCTCTTTTGCTCTTGCGTGGAGATAAACCGGATCATACTCTCGCAAAGCCGATCAAGAACCCACTCCGGCTCCGTCTGCGAAGCCAACATGGGACTATTCTCACCTATCCAGTCCCAATTCAGAATCCCATACTCATCCTCGTACAATACCGTGTCCCCCGGACTCGGATCCGTGAATCGGATCATTCGCGTAAACTCCACCCACTCCTGGTAGGTATAGCGCTTCGGATGGCCATTGACGGCATCCCGGGTCGTCCGACGGATAGCGAACGCAAGACGCTGGGCCAGATCGAAATCCGACAGTCCTTCTTTGTCCCTTTCTTGTCTGGTCGGTTGCGGGTTTGTTGAGGACTCGCCGGTCTGTGTCCCCTCTACGTCATCAGGACCGATTTGAAACCCCTGGGCGACTCTTTTGTCCTGCTCGCGTTTCTTGAGGTAGGACGCAATGGGGGGGAACCTGGCAATGAAAGACTTGTACTTCCCCGTCCGGGGCAGCACGGTGTAGTCTGCGACTCGGCTGGTGGCGTGCTTGAACACGGCGACGACGGTATTGCTCATCTCCGAGATGAGCGAAGTCATAGTCGGGATGGCGATGAGCGACCACACGACGAAGAACGGCTTTGCCGCGTTGGTGGTGGGCGTGATGTCCCCGTACCCGATAGTCAACAGAGAACAGAAACCAAAATACAGGGCCTGAAAGTACGTGAACTGCTCCTCCAAGGCCCAGAATACAACTGCGCCGCAGGTCCACAGGATGCCAAATGCAATGAGACTGAGGATGAGTCGGTACCAGCGACGGAAGACGACGCTTTCGTACTGGATGGCGCGCATCGCGTCGAACCGGTCCTTTTCCTCTCTCATGACGATGTCCTTTGGCCGAGCGCGCGCGCCGCGGTAGATGGCTGTTACTTGGCTTATGATGGGCGTTTTCCGCGTGTGTTTGGGTCGATACGCGATTCTTGATGTGTTGGGTCTCAGTTGGAGGTCTTCTTCCATTTGAGAGTGTTTGATTGTCGCTTCTCGGCACCGTTCCCTGTGCTTTTTCACGACGTTCGTGTCTTGTATGTCTCGGATGATGTTGTTGATACTCCCCACTACCAGACCCAAGATGATTATTCCAATCACGGCGTAAGGGAAGACAAGACCTCTCCCGACAGATGTCTTGGGGGTGACGTCGCCAAAGCCAAGCGTTAGAATGGTAATATCGCAGAAATACAGCGCCTCCGCAATGGATATGCCCATGACCTCGTGGAAGACTGCGGCGCCTACTATTAACCAGACTCCAAAGGCGGTAGTCTGGAGAATCAGGGTCCGCTGACCGTCTGTTAAGGCAAAATATTGAGGATAATGTCCGAGAAAGTATCCAAGCATGTTAATCATGAGGATAGAGGTGAGAATGAAATAGTGAATCGCTGCAATGACGGCATACCAGTATGCCTGCGAGTAGGTCTGGTTTGGCGGTATCGGGCTCGCATAGATATGCACCGAGCTGGTGAGTCCGATCAACTGTGTGCGTTAGCAATACTCGCGGACACGGGCCGTCATCACTTACAATGCCGGTCGCTAAAGACCAAGAAATGATAGAAGCTGGCAGCGCGATAATATACCGGATGGTCCGTGTAAAATTGAATAAAAGAAAAAGATTCCCTAGCATCCCAAAGGCAAGAGAAGTGGCGTTCAGGCCAATGCACCTGACACAGTTAGTGTAGACCACATGGCTATTGCCGGAGGCTTACCATCTAGGATCAGGCAGCAATGTCTGCACCGGATTTCCCTCCGGGTCCTGTTGTTCAGGATGTATTTCACTTCGCCAGGACATAGCCAGCGCGATCACCGACATCACGTTTGCAAAGGGACTGGTGGTAGCCGCCATCAAGGGGATGGAGGTCGACGCGAACCACCAATCCTGCGGCTCGTCATCGTCCGGAGGCCTCGGATTGAATTGAGCTTGAACCTTCTGCCATAAGGAGGTTTTTGCTGGAGCCTTTGGTACTTTCGGGCCATTTCCATCGCCAGACCTTTCCTTCGTGGTGAAATCTGATTCCATGGCTGCAGGGTTCCTCTTAGCTGATTATTGCTCGCAGCGCGTATAGAGTCTCATATTCGTGGCACAGCAATCATAATATACGGAAGGTAGCCATAGAAGACTTTGATTCATAGCGCATGAAAGTCCTGTCTGTCAATGTCAGTTTACATTTAATGAAGTTCGGAACACAGAAGTTGTGGGGATGAAAGTTAATTGGACACTACGTGAAGCCTCAGGCATCAATCAGGCACAGATAGTGTAATAGCCCTCATCCCTCAATATTCTCACCATGGAAGCAATTGATATGGTAGTCCACCTTTGAAGCAAATCGAAACGAGCAAAAAGACGAATCACAGAGTCATGACTTAGTAAATCTTTCGTTTCATAGCGCATATCCGCAGGTCATGGTGATACAGAAGCCTATTCCGTTGACAACAAGCATCTCTGTAGTACACCAAATTCTTCATGACCTTGTACTTCAAAGTCCTCCTCTACATCAGCAGTAGTTCTATACGCTTTGCACAAGTCCATCTCCATTTCTGACCACTTCAGATACTCAAAAACCCCCGAAGGACATTACCAAGTTGAAACCCACATACAGAGCTCAACACCAGAGCTAAACCACACAATAGCGACTACAAAGGCCAGTACGTATCCTCCGCGGCTGATTCTCCGCCGCTTCAGTAAGAGCCTCCTGTTCAATATCATCAATGCTCCCCGTGAGTTGAATATACCCCTCCTCATCCAGTTCATGCAGTGCTCGCTTCAGCCACAACCGGCAAGTGATCGGCGGGGTTTCAGGAACAGCAGCAAGTCGATCTACCAGTGCAACATGCAATGCAGGGTCCATTACCGCGATCTTCAAGGAGACGAGCAGATTGAGTGAATTTGGAATGCCGGTAATAGGCTTGGTTTGATATTGCCACTGATTGCCCGTCTCGATGCTGTTGATCACATGGAACATGATGCCTTGGCCCTGACTTTGGGCAAGGTAGAGGGCCCAGTGGAACTGGATATCAGAGCCGAGGTCGGAGACCAGGATGTAGAGGCCATTGGTGTCGAAGAAGATTGGGTTATTTGGCATGTTGGAGTATTATCTGAAGTACGGCTGATTGGGAGAGAAAAGGTAGGAGGGGCGTTGTAGCAAATGGCAAGGCAAGGTAGATTTTGGCTAACCAGATTGGGAGTAGTCGGCTTGGATTATAATCCCATAGTTGAATGCTTATAGGGTGGACCAAATAGCATAGAAGGGGAGGGATGGTATTTATTGTATAATCTCGTTGCCAGGAGCACTTCCCTATCGGGCCCGGTATAGTGTACTTCGAGGTCTGGTTGACACTTGAGAAGTACTCGTGATTTAACGCGTAGAATTACTTAGACTATGCTACCTAAGAGATGTACCAGTTCAGTATTTTTTGTAACCCTAAATATACGACGGATCTCGATACCTCAAGCAGACGATTTGGACTCGACCCTGGCATATGCACAATCTACTAAGCATTAAACAACAGCAAACATTCTATATCTATCTAGAACAATAGCAAACAGTCTCAAGCAGCCAACCAATACATCAGTGTGCAACAAGCACCTTACACCTCATATTTATCATATGTACTCTGCAGCTCGTACTCGTGTGCCTCCCTCAGCAGATGCGCCAATTCACTAGGATGAAAGATGTTAAAAAGAAGCATAGCAACGAAGATCAATACGGCATCAAAGATGTAGAGAAATATCTCATGATGCAAAAGATACCCATTGTTGCCCTGAAGATACTCCACCAAGCGGAACACCGACCGCACCATAATCAAGAAGCTGGTCGCGTACAGGACGTTCAGATGCTTGATCCACGGAATCGACGGATCGTGGCATCGTGGGATCGGATATTTTCTCAGCTTTAAATGAAAGCTACTCGCTGTGACTATAAAGAAGCCAAAAAAGAATATCTGGACGAAGAGTCCCGCCACGATGATCCTTTCACCCAGCTTCATGTTGTCTAGGCTGCCGCTGCTCTGGATGCCGCCTCCTGGATGGGGTTTAGTACTTGCGCCAGTTGTTACATGCGTCAGCTGAGTTGGGGAGAAGTGTGCTAAGGTTGACTCACCGGCACCTTGTAGAAAGAATGAAAGAACGTCTCCCGTCACAAAGATCTTGGTCAACCATTTTTTACTGAGGATTGCATGGGACTCTGCTCGCAGAATCAAGATGATGCGTCCGAGGAGCATGTAAACAGAGGCAGCTAGGAGAGCAGGCGCAAGAAGAAGAAACAAAGTTTGGATCAAGTAAGGACCAAGGGTCCAGTTTGGACTCTCATGACTCGACAGGGCGCGTCCAATGTAGCCGATGATTTCAACTGTTGGAATGAGTACAGCTCATGCAAGAAAGATTGAACACACAATATCTGTGGAAACAAGCAACAACTGACATATACCACCCACCAGGAATGGGATAAAAAACCAAGTTCGAGTTCGGAACAGCTGCACCGCGTGCCATAATGTCGTTATCGTGAACAGGACAGTGAAGATTACGGCGCCGGCCATACTGGGGTCATATCGATAGAAGGCGAACATGGACGCCTCGTTTGATGCTGCATTTGTAGCATCGCCACTGCTCCCCATTCTGGGTGTTTTGAGGATCCTGGTGCAAGGAGGGGTAAAAGATAATCAATGCTGAAGTGCTCTCGTCCGTTGCCGTTGGGGATCATTTTAGATTTAGGTAGCATGACGTATTTAAATGCAGTGGACCGTGAAATCAGGTTGGCAGCCCCCTGACCGGTTTGCAAGCAGAAAGTAGTAAGATTGATTCTATTATGAAAAACCTCAATAGATAGTAGATCAGGGCACCAGGGACCCAGTTTCAAAATAGATAGGGCTTATGAATTTTGGGATGGTATCCACTTCGTACTCTCGTACTCTCGTACTCTCGTATCTTCGTATCTTCGTATGTTGCCACTCGCAAACCATCCGCTGCTCGGCAATTACACTTAATCGCATACAGACGGTTCCCTGCCTCAGAGCCGAGCTCTGCTCGTCAGTATAGTACTGTATCTAACTCCCTATGATTGTATAAGCCGGGTAGATAGGCGAGCCCCGGTTGAACAGAACATTCTATGTATAATGCAGAAAGCTTCCCCCGACAGGCCAAGCCAGCCGACCTTTGATAAAAGGACAGTCGTACCCTAGTAGTTACACTCCTTAATTGTTTTAACTATACTCAGTACAGGCTAAATTAACTCCAAGTTCTCGTGTGGTTGTTGTAAGTCTATATCCTACTAATACTTCGTTGCTTGATCTATCAGGACGATTAAACGATCCCAATCTATTCAACTTCCTTGAGGAGGAGCCTACAGCTGAGTCGAGATGCTCCTGAATGATCTAACGGAGTATGGTTGATCACGATGTTCTTCTTCTTCTCGTCGCCAATACCAACCAGGGCATGTGCAGCTCTGGATTGCTTGGCCCCCCGTAGAGACAATTCGACAGAAAGCCCCGAAGAACTTCCGTCTTCATGCAGCTCATCCCCCGTCTCCCAGACTCCACAAAACGGATTGGATCCAAAGTCAAGGGATCGGTCTTCCACCTACCGAAATATGTCTGATACTCCATCCCCATCACCTACTCCTACTGCACAGAGCGGCTCGCGTGCACGGTATGAAAAAAGGCACAGGGCGCGCCACCTTAAATCCCGCAATGGCTGCTACACCTGCAAGCAACGAAGAGTCAAGGTCTGTTAATCATCGCATTGCAACATGTTCAAATTGTCTACTGACCGCATGTTGCAGTGTGACGAGGTAAGGCCTGTTTGTGGTGCATGCTCTTTTCGTGGTGAATCATGTTCATTTCCGCCTCTAGCGCTACCCACGTATGTATAGTACTTCCTAGCCAAATGAGAAAAGGCATATCAAGCTTTCTCTTTGCAATACTACTGCCCAGGCCGATTCACTGACATAAGGGATCATAGCTCGATGGACTCAGAAGACTATCAGCGCTCGCGAAAGCCCAGGCGGGTGGTTCCTGTACCACACCCCTTGCAGCCGTTGGAATTCCACCTGCCTGGGTTATCCTCAGAACTGTCACTGCATGGGCAAACAATCAATATGGCTGACATGAACCTTTTGACCAAGTTTATGCTGCAGACATCAAAAAAGATGAGTCTTCATCCAAAACGAATGTTAATCTGGCAGCAAGTTATCCCAGACATGGCTGCAAAACAGGAATATTTGATGCATCTACTCCTCGCACTCGCTGGAGCACATACCCTATATGAATCAGACATGGCAAGAACTGGAACACTGAACAAAGACGATAACCAATCTGCCACGCCCTCTATAGACAATTCTGCAATTCATGGTCTTCATCGCGTTATTGAACATCACCAAAGGGGACTCAAAGGATTCCGAGAGGCTCTATCCGATATGTCTGCTGCCACGGCAGAATATGTTTTCTGCGGCTCACTCTTAATCGTTGCCTTCGCCTTTGCTTCTTTGTCAATCCGGGACCTGAATATTACAGAGCCGGGGTTCAGGAACGGAGACAATTACGAAAGTCCATTTACAGACTGGCTTCATTTGGTTCGAGGGTTGACCACTGTGGTGCAAGAGCATTGGTTTACCCTCAAAACCAGCAGACTGAGATCTATGTTGCTTTACGATTACGGCAACGACGATTGGAGACACACCCTTTCATTAGTCCGTGTCCCGCGTTTAACCTATGGCTCCCGTGTAGTGTTGATATTTACGCAGGGAGCCACTCAGTCTCTTTCTATGCTACGCGCCTACGCAGCCACATTGACTTCGAGCCCTGCAGCAAACGAGACCAATTCTACGTCACCCCAGAATTCGTCGGACACTCAGACGGGAACTGATAATCTAAGCCAGGGGCATGCAAATACCATTGATAAGTTAGAGGAGATATATATGCGTACCCTTAATGTGTTTCACTTTTCAGAAAGTGGGCGTGATTGCTCTGCATCGCGGGATTTTCAGATCGATCTAGAAGAGGCTGCCGTCGCGTCCTGGCCTTGTATGGTATCAAATGCCTTCATTACCTCCCTTAAGCCACGGGGCCAAGTTGAGATTGCTGAAGGATTCTCATACACGATTTTGGCTCATTTCTATCTGGTTTTCCTGTTGTTGGGGGATTTGTGGTATCTTAATCGGGCCTTTCACAAGGAGATCCAAAAGATCTTTCGGCTTGTGAGTGATTTGCAAAATGACCAACTCCTAGCCCTCATGGAATGGCCGATGGCTGTCATAGCAGCAAATCAAGAGGAGTGAGACCATGTCGCATTTTTACAGTTCATTGATGGCCAGATATCTTCTGTCAAGACGATATACCACATCCCAGAACCGGTAATTACTAGTAGATTTAGTATACTCTCGCAGAAACAGCAAGAAGATACTACATCTTCTATTAATGGGAAGCGCTACATAATTCATTCTTCTTGTGCTGTGCCCCGGGAACGATGTTTGCCGGCCTGATCAATGACAAATGGCTCGCACCTTCGTATGTTCGGATCCTCGTTTCCTCGTAGTATCGTTTTGATCTCCGAAGGTGTGGGTCTCGCTTTTAGGTTATGGTTCATTCCCGGCACTGAGGGCTTCGACGACCCACAACTTATGCGAATATACGAACGAATATACGAACAGCTCATGGACAGTTCACAAGGGCATCGGCGAGGACGCCTAGCTATTTCTCTATCATATACATTATAGAATATAAGTAGTCAACGACCCGATCGAGCAGATGATATTTTAGCACACAACTGCTATCGGCGCCCTTATGGTGACCGGGCATTTCTCCATCGCGATTCGTATCTTCGCATTCTCGTATACTCGTACTGGCGCACGCCCGTCTTTAGCTATGCCGAAAGCGGGTCACTTTTAATCTGGTCGAAAGATATTTCTGTCTCTCCGCCACAATGGTCCACTCTTCTAAGCCCTATCCCTGAACTAATGATGCGATATCGTTGGCTAACGATGTCGTCTTGATGAAGTAGATTCCGTAGTTTTCCTGGACTAGTCCTTTTACCGGCTTGGAGATAACTGTAAAGTCAAATCTAACGCGCGATAAACGACTAGATGGGTTAGAGTGGAGTCATGGAGAAGGATCTATCAACATGATTAACAGGCCAAAGGATATATTAAGGGACAACGATATCGTCTAGATGGTTCAGTCATCTGTCTCTCTTTAATCATCTTCTCGGCCCCCTCTTTTTTCATTTCTGCCTTGATTTTTTTGATATCAAATTTCTGTTAAAAGCAGCTTGCAAAGAAGTTGGATTTATCTATTAGAATCAGTCAACATCTGCCATCGTCACAGCCTAACTCTCCACGCTCTGACCAAGATGGACTCCACCGAGGGAATGTTCGAGTTCAAACTGTACCGCTATACACCCTCGCTTGGGGCAGCAGTCCTGTTCCTTATTCTATTCGCCCTAATTACTATCTATCACCTGTACCAAGTGATTCGCTTAAGGTCCTGGTATTTCCTTGTGTTCGTATTCGGAGGAGTGTGTGAGTTTTCCTTTTTGACCTGATACAAACGCAGCAGAGAAGAACGAGAGAAATACTAACATATACGCGTAGTTCAAGTTATCGGCTACATCTGCCGTGCACTGGCGCATAACGACACCAACTCTATACCGATCTACTCCATAGGAACGATCATGATCCTCCTCGCGCCTCCACTCTACGCCGCCTCGATCTATATGACTCTCGGTCGACTGATCAAGTACCTGGACGCGGAAGCGCTCAGCATCGTGCCCACAAGGTGGTTAACACTAATATTCGTAATCGGCGACGTGGTCGCATTCGTCATGCAGGCAGCAGGTATGCATCGATCCCCCCTGGTCCCACTGAGCAACATCAAGCTAACAAAGAACCTCCAGGCGGCGGGATCATGGCCAGCGGGAGCCTCAGCGCCATGAACACGGGCGAGACAGTCACCATCGTTGGTCTCGCAGTCCAACTAGCATTTTTCAGCGTCTTTATCGTCACCTCGACGATCTTCCACTGGCGAATCCACCACAACCCGACGGAAAGATCACTCATCAAAGGCCAGTCCAAGTGGACGGAGACGACCTGGGTAACCGTAATGGGTGTTCTTTATGTGTCGAGTGTGCTCATCCTTGTGCGATCGATTTTCCGTCTCATCGAGTATGCCCAGGGGAATGCTGGGTATCTGATTAGCCATGAGGTGTTCATGTATGTCTTTGACTCCATGCTGATGTTCTTCACTATGGTTGTTATGGGCTTCTATCACCCTTCGAAGCTCCTCAATCCGGGGAGGATGGGACGGCAGTCTGGTGATACTACGACGCAGTTGCATCGGCTGGCGTCGGCTTAGGATACTTGCGTCTTTGCTTGTCTCCTGTGTTTTTGTTTCTGGGTCTTGTATGGAATTGGATTTTATATATCATTCTGTGGTTGTTTGGGACTTTAGCCTTTAAGCTCTCGCTATTTTGTCGAACCAGATAGAGGCGTATAATCTGAGTCTTGAAATCGTTCTATGTACATGCCACTGTATATATTGGTAGGCCAATAGATTGCTTAATGAAGAGTGGGTCGGTGGGTCATTAGCATGTTTGAATAACATGTTGATGTCGTCGTTCAGAGGAGTACAAGCTTTCAATATTCTAGGATTGACATTTGAACCATTATGAGGTTAGGTCTGCGTTTTAGCACATACCTAATTGTTAATCATACAAGTCTGAGGCCGTATAGCGTAAAATGCTCGAGGTATTCCTCGCGAGTGATAAGCAACCGTTCATCAGACGTGTTGTTGACCTCTATGCCGTTGCATATCTGACGGTCATGTCCGTTTTCGATTATATGCTGAGCGAAATCTTCATTTAGATTCTGGATGACTGCACGTATTCGCTTTTGATACCCATTCTCTAATTGGGCACTCTCAAAGAAGGGGCTATTGTAACTACCATCTAGGCCAGATTTCACGAGAGTCTGAAAGTATTGGCTGATATGGAGAAGATATGATCGCTGCTCCTTGAGGGTAGTGCGAGGTTCTCCAAGTTTCTCGAACCCCTTCACGGATTGATCCATCTTAGATTGGATATCATCGATTAAGCTGGGTAGCTCTGCGGCAATTTGGCCCAAAAGGAGCTTACTGAGTCGCTGCCGTAGTGTCTATACCGACCTGGGACGGTGGCAAGTCTCCCCAAATACCCTTGGCGAAGAACTTGGCTTCCTCTTCTCTGCGAGCGCAAAGACTCCAAGTTCCCTTCTCCGTGTCCATATTCTTGAGGACATGCCATCCGAGGCGGAAACCTCCTTCCTAATTCTTCGCAAGTGAGACGAACTAGCGTTCACTTTCCTATCCCTCAACCAATATATCAGGCTTTGTGATGACACCAAGTGTTCGGTGGCCAGAGCGATTGGCTTTTCGGGCAAGTCGGAGAACAATCTGATTTGCAAAATCATTTTCAGCAGATACAACAGCGAGAATAATACTCCTTGGCCCCTTCATGTATGATTGAACAGCATCTTGAACATGAGTGATATTAGCGGCCGACTGCAGCTTCGTTTTGGACTGGATCAGCCCGGGAAGATCGACGATTGTCAAATGGGGATGGTCGGGGCCTGAGACTTCAACTCAAGAAGGTCATTAGTTACTATACCCATCGCAGCTTTTGCATCGTCGATCAGTTTTGGGAGCCCTTCGAAACCCGCGAGCTCATCGTGGAAGCGCGAGAGTGTGTCCTGCTCAACATGGCTACGAGAGCGATGGGGAGCAATAGATACCCTCACTCCAATGTGGGGGCTCTTGCGCAGAACAAGCTCTGTGGAGTGCGTGTGCAAATGTTGCTTTTGACCAGGAACGAAAGACCTGATATCGCCTCCAGCACAGACAATGATCTGTGGAAGGGAAATGTAATGGCTGATACCCTGGAGACGGAGTGTATCAACTGAGTCTAGCAGGTCCAGACGCTCTTCTGTGCATAATACCTCCAAGGAACTAGTTGAGAACTGACGCAAGACCATCTTTGTCAGGACCAGATACCACAACTGACTAGCATCCGGTGAAGTGAAGTTAAAGAAAAGGCGAGTGTGCTTCAGTGAAGACGTAAAGTGTAGAGAACGAAATGTGAACGGCAAGAAAAAGAAAATTCAAGTCGACGGGCACAGAACTAAATGTTTTGGCCGGTTAAAGATGATTCAACAGATGAAGGAGATCCCATATATAGTAGATGCTGTACCAAATGATCATTGAGAAGGGCGGTTTAGAACAAAGAAAACCATGTGGTAGTCAGGTGGTCTGTTCATCGCATGAAAGGTCCTCGACATATGGTTGTCACGGACCGGTCAATAGTTAGACTGTATACTGTCTGTTCACTGTCTGTTCACTATCTGGCAATCTCGGCTACAACGACTTCCTGCAGAAAGGACTCATAAAATTATGCCAGGATACAAGAGAATAACGATGTTACTATTCAGCATTCTATAACTGGGAAGTTTAGTGTTATATAAGACAGGGGCACACAAACTTAATTCACGAGATGCTTGCTTTCCGCCACAAAGCTAGAGTAGTCTCTGGGGCAGTTATAGGTCCGTAATCTACCGAGATATACCATGCTCTTGTTGTTCGCTCTGACTTAATGACAATTTAGTCTCATGTCTCCTAGAACAATACCCTTGTCCGTTGATTGAGTTTGGCATCCGGAACAGTGTATTCGAGGTAAAAGCGCTGTACTAAAGAGCGATGTCGCTGGATGTTGCTTGCTTAGCTATCGATGCTGTGGATTTAGCCTATAATATTAAGCATTCCGTTATCGGACCAGGCCGCGACGTGCCCAGAGGAGAAGTACACGCATCACTGGCTAATTAAGCTTGAAGGTATCTGGGTCCACCATATGCTGGAGCTTGCAACCTCCAGCATGGATCAATAGTGACTTGCCGAGGACGGTCTCCTGCCTTGTCGTTCTACCTCAGAGCGGGGAAGCTAGAATGACTCAAGGTCATAAGGATTGGTTGATTGAATCGTTCGAAGATTGGTAATATACGTCTAATTCTACGGAGTGTATACTTCGGCATTATGAACGCAGTGCAGGATAACCCGGCTCGCTGCCCCTTTTTTATCTCATTCGAGAGGGTCAATCTTTTCCACCACTAGCCAAATATTCCGTCAGAATTACCTGTGAGGCTGTGCCCTGTACTTCTACTGGATAACAGTAAATTGAAGTACTTCGCAATGCCAGTGATGTGCAGAACAGGAGAAGCCAAAGAGGCATGACCTTTGCTACAAAATATTCTTCCGCTTGGTAGAGATTGATACCTCGCTTAGCGAAATTAGCGAACGGTTTAACAATTGAGACTTACTCCGGGGTTCCCCCGGAGCTCCTAGGAGAACAAGATTCGTTGGCGGTTTTAGGTATACCCACTTTCTACCCACCCGTTCCAGACTGCCCCCAACGGAAGTTATCGCAGGGAGAGTTGCAGCGAACATGATCCGATGTGGTCAACATTCCACTGTCCTGTTGCCAAAAAGTGCGAAAAGTTGTGTCATTCCAATCACATGAAAATCTCTTGACCTGCAGCAAGTTAAGAAAAGGACAAGACGCTAGTGCGGGAACCCAAGAGTTTTCTAGCCGTGGATCGAAGACTCAATACGAGAGGCACCAAATCACATTTAACCATAAAATTAAGTGTTTTACAAACCCCTGTCGGAGGTGACACCGGGGCCATTTCCGGTTTCGATTCGGGTTTCCCGATCTTCCAGTCAGCAGCAAATCGAGCAGGAGAGTCTTGAACTAATCACGGCCGAAAGAAAAATATAACCGTGGTGGACGGTCCCACCACAACTCCCGCGGAACCACAAAACCACGGCACGAGACATCAGTCGACATCTGGCGACGCCTAGTGCGTGCTCTAGCCTAGACTCTAGGGGTTAACTTCTCCTTATGAGGTTTGCATTAGGCCGAGAAAGGAAATCAGTCGTGTGCGGACCAGAAGCTGCTTCGAGCTGCCTACCATCTGCCTCGCTGCTGAATATCCACCTTTCTAACCGTCCTTCTCTGGCTATTGGCTGAGCTTTTGTGACCATCGGCCATTACTATTCACAAACGAGACTGCACGCGTTCGCGAGAGGCTAGTATTCCAAGAAAACCGTGGGAGTCGGGAGGCTAAGCAACAATCCATAGGGGATTTACCCACTCGGTTCAATTCGAGGCCGACGCCGTCGCAGTCTAATATGCAGGAGACGTCCACATTGGCATTTAGTCACAGTCTAGTCATGTTCGTTGAAAATAAGCAAGAAGCCCCTGCTGAGTGGTCCTGACTATATAAAGACAGATTATCCGTCTCGTGTGAGATTAGCTTACCACTCTGGTTTCTTCTTCCCAGCACGAGAGCCCGACCATAGCCATGGACAGCCATCAGCTCTTTCTCCACGCTGCTGCTACCGGTGACGTAGCCTCCCTGGAACAGGAATATGCGAAGAACAAGACAGTCATCGCCAGCAAAGACTCCACTAATCGGACAGCTCTCCACTTGGCTGTCCTCAACGGTCACTTGAACGCTGTCGAACGGCTGCTGGACTACGGCATTGCTTGGTGCTTGAAGGATAATCAGGGTCAGACAGCATTGCACCTTGCAGCGCAGCTATCATCTGCCACCATTGCCGAAATACTCCTTGAGAGAGGCGCGAATTGCTGCACTCAAGACCACGACGGGAAAGCGCCCATCTTTTACGCCTACCGAAATTATTCCCCCGATGTCGTGAGCTGTTTTCTGAAATATGTCGAATCGTCCTGTGGCACGGACAAGAATTGCAGCCTTACGCCACAGATCATTCTCGGTGGTGGCTGCCGCAAATGGACTCCCCTGCACTCTTGATTAGGCTGCACGGCCCCTGAAGAGAGCGCGCCGGCCTGCACGGCGTAAGGCTTGAAAACGTTTACTCTTCCTTTGCCACTCAAATTGGACAAATTTCTCGAGAACACGGATGCCCGATCTCGCTTATATCCGCCGCACGCCTTGATCTTATCTCGGAAAGTCAGCCTCGAATAGCGCCGGAGAATGTGCCCTTCTTGACAATCCAGTAAAATAGCGGACTGTCAAAAGATCCTCTCTGAAGAAAGGACTGCGCCATAACGATATCGGATTGACCACGGGGAGAAGACTCCCGTTGCCAGCCGCCGGCCAGCCGCCGGCCAGCCCTGCATCCCGACGAGATATCCGATCCGCCTTTTTCCACTAGACTCGCGGGCATCGTCCGGGGGCGTGGGATCGTGATGGTGACGGTGTGGATCAAGGGTGGTATACGGATACCTAATGCACAACCAATGGGAATACCCACCCTGGCAGCGTGGACGGCTACAGTGGGGCATTCCAGCTACAACGATAGACTAGCCAATACCACCTGTCCTTTAGCCTAGATCACAATAATAACTTTTTAGATCTTGTACCGTGGCATTATTTGTCATGGCTAATTTCCCAAGTCACAATGTACAGAGTAGAAACTGTTGCTGTAGCACGAGATCGTGATGTTTCTCTGTAACCCAAGTAATACCATGAAACCGTCGTAATGGATGTTTGATTTTGAGAAAATTAGTGTTTAGGGACAGGACCCATGATAAATTCAGTCTAGCTAGATTGGGGTCTACCTTACTCGCAGGCTTCTCTAAATCGACCGGTCCGTTCACCACTACATCGTCGGCTGCAACCCCTTGACACACTGCTTTGGCTTTTCTCGACAATTCTCAGACGTGATGGCCTGTTACTGGCCGCAATCTCTGAAGACTTTCTTAATTCCGTACCCGTCATTGTGCAACTCCTGTGGTGCCTGCTTGGGCCCATAGACGACAGGGCGGTGGCGTGATAGGCAATTTTTCTAATGGATTGTCCAGAGACTCATGTAGAAAAGAGTCCCTTGCGGTAAATTTCAGTTATACCAGCAGAGTTACCAAGTTCCGGGACTTGCTAGCCTTCTTACATCAGTACTCCCACCTATACTCTACGTCTATGTTGTTGATGTTGATAAGATGGGAAACGATAGTCGTGCTTCTTTGCGAGGTAAAGTCCTTTGTGGAATTAAAATTCTGCTCGAATATCATAAAGAACAATGTGAAGTCCATTGTATTCAAACGGATCCTATGGAATTGTGTGATATTTGAAGTCTTAAATGGGAGGGAAGCATCACAGCAAATGGTTGTACACTTATTATTTGTTTGAGCGCAAGGTGGAACATCGTTTCTCTGAGATGTCACATTTTGATCATTCTCTGAAGACTGAGACCTTATATCTCGAAGTGATTCATGAAAGCGCCTAGGTCCAATCGTCTACCCTCGTGGGCATGTCCGTCGCGCATAGTAATTCGTGATTCACAAGGCCACGCCACGTATTGAATACACATTGAGCTCATACTATCAGGCGAGATGATACTGCCTAAATAATTGAAATTACTCACTAAGAATAAGGTGGAAGATGTCGGGGGCGGACAACAGGTGACCAAGCAGTGGGGCGCCAACTGTAGCGCCCACCACAGTTGCTTTCACTCTTGTCTCTGCTCTCCTTTCATGGGCTCGTTGCAGTACCACCAACCACTACTCATCTAAACTTCATCTGATTGCGATAAACGGATTGTGATGTTACTTGGATCGATATTAATCGATGACAGCCCAGCAGAGCGCTTAAAACTATCGATCGGTGGGCTCTCACCCACGGAACACGTACGTCTGAACCACTTTGTCGCAGCTGCCGTTGACCCCGAGATCGCTGCACGATATTTCATCTCAAAGAGAATGGGTATCCAGGATGTAGAGATCAAGAGGAGTGGCGGCTAGTGGAACGGTAGGTCTTCTGGGGTGCAATTGCCCTCTCTGTGCTCAATCCATGTATGGGAAACAGCATGCCTCGGGCCACTTTTAGATTGCGTTGACCAGGTGGCAGTTGTTGCTTTCTGGTGATGGGATGCGATCACGGATTAATCTCAGCCGTGTAGGCTGCATATATCTCCCCGTTGCCCATGCTTCATGAGCTTGCAAGTGTTGAGGTGAGCTGTCATGAATGACAGTAATCTGGAGGTGACTACGTGCTCACAGCTTATGGTCGTCTAGGCATTTCTACCCACTCAATATCCCATGCGCTTATGAGAAGTCTTTGCTACCGAGGACGATGACATATCTCTGCAAAATATATGGCTCCCGTTCCGAACATCCACAAAGCCTTTCGCAAAGGGCATATCGATGTCTTGACAAGGTCACAATTACTGCAGCACTGCTTTATATCGAGTATGGAAAGCAAGCGCAATAAAAGTTTCAGGTGTGCCCATGCCTGTGTACACTCGGGATGAGCCTTCTAATATATATGCCGGAGACGGGAGAGAATTCTAGAGAATATTACATCTCTTTAGATTCTCCACACCGAACACCAAGCCGTTGACTTGCCAAATCACTTCGCTTTGGAAGACTATCGTCGATTAACAGCCACACTGCATCTTTTTTCCATTGAGGATAAAATTGGTAGTGGCCGATCGAAGCCAGATAGAGATGTCTCGGAATCTCCCCTGGTAATTCGAACGATCGATCATTAGATACGGTTCCTTGTTCCACCTTGGTTATATCTGCGATTTTATATATTGCTTATATGGCTTGGGAAAACGGTCTACGGTACACTGTGGGCACAATGGGTTCAACAATCCCCTTTGGGTTGGTCTTCATGGAGAGTGATCCCCCTTCTCGAAATGAAGCCACCGCGTGAAGACCGACTGAGCATCCCGGTGTAGTGGATGTTGTCAAACACCAAGGCAAAATGTACCTCTACATGGACAGCTCCCTGCGGATGTTTGCTTCTGATGCTACACATGAGCGGGGCTAGTTTGCCGACGATCTAAAGGCTAGCATCGTGCGGTTACGAAAGATTGCAAATAATACCCCATTCATATGCGGCAACGCAATTGGCGGCACATATCTCAATTATCGCGTCACTGATGGATTGCGAGACTGTCCAACTCGGAATCTGGATCTAATTTCCACCTGACTAGCCCTCTCAGTGGCACATTAGCTAACATATTTGCGAGTCGCAACATTCGTCTCGATCATCGGCCTCAGGCTGGTATTCCCTAAATTTATCTGTTGACTGTAGAAGGTTGAATGAAATTATCGACGGGGACTGTGCCAACCATATGCCCGAGTACTGGGAGTTTACGGAAGCGATATACAGCGCACGCAGAAGGCAGGTATTTGAGAATATCTTTTACCAAACATTTCGACATGGGTATGATAATGAACTTAAGTAGAACGAAAGCCATGAACTTCCGCCCTATTCGGTGTTTAAAAGCAACTTACGATATCCATACAGTGACTACTTTTCTCAATAGTAGAACGATACATCATGACCTACAATAGAAATGGTGGTGAAGCAAATAGCCTAAAGGGAGAATCCGCATGGAAAGGTTAAGAAAAGGGATTCACATTGATAGGAGAAGAACAGTCCTGCAGAAAAGCAATGATAGGTCTGCAGCTTGAGCCCGAGCGCAAGCAAACGCCCCCTCTTGGCCTGTTTGATGAGTTGGCATGCCGCTATATATGCAGCAAGGGACAGGTCACAATTCTGCCCAACTCATACGGACACACAATTGTTTTCAGGAATTTGCGAGGTGGATATCATGGGACTCCAGGATCTCAGCGCTGAGACGGTTGTGGCGATACTACGGTCACTCGATGTGCAGGACATATTGAATTTAAGATGTGTCTGCCGTAAGACTCACTCTGCCTGACCGCTGCTACTAATAATACTCACCAATGAATGAACACTATATCTAGGTTCTATGGACCAGGTTATCATAGGCAACATAGTCTATACCGGACAATATAACCAGACTATGAATGACCGGCTCTGGTCACGACTTCTATATGAGCAAATCGCGCATGATGTCTCCAGCCACGAGCACACCACCCGGATCATATCCCGCTTGCGGTCGCAGTTTGCTGTAAAATGCTGCGCAGAAAACTGCATTCAAGCTATAGCTAATGCCCTGGTGTCATACAAGGGCCGCGGTTGGGTTGCAGAAAACCTGAAAAGTGTCATGCATTGGACTGATAGTTGGGATGATCTCGCTGTCATGGTATTAGGGGCCTGGCTCGGGTTGAGAAACGTTGTAAGGGGGCTTCTGGAGAGGGGTGTCCCGGCTGATAAGAGTCACGAGTTCCTGGGCAGTGCCATGTATGCTGCTGCGTTCAATGATGATGAGGTTCTGACGGAGCTACTCCTCGACCAGAGTGCGGGTGATTGGAAGATGGACGGCGCTTATGGAGATGCCCTACAGCTCGCAGCGTATCGGGGATCGAAGAATGTGGCACGACATCTTATTGAAAACCGCATACAGAAACAGACATCTCCAAGCCCCTTCGGCTATGGACCTTATGGTAGCCCTTTGGGAGCAGCGGCTGCAGCGGGACATGACGATATTGTGCGGCTGTGTGTGGAATGGCAGAAAGGTTCAAGACAGTTGGGTCCTCATTTACGGACTCCATTATTCTATGCAGCTAGAAGTGGAAGAGCCAGTGTTGCTAAAATACTCCTCGACAGTGGGGAGATGAGACCTAACCTGGATGATGACTTCAACGATACCCCTTTAAGCGTTGCGGTGGAGCACAACCACGAAGACGTTGTTTCTGTGCTACTAAGCAGCGACAAGATCAAAGCAGACTACCCGGGAATACGAAGTAGCAAGCTAACCCCACTCCAAATCGCAGCCAGGAATGGGAACACGAGTATCGTCCGAATGCTCCTACGTCGTAGTGATGTTGAAATCGGGGGACATGGAGATAGGGAACCTCCCATCGTCATGGCTGCGCTCAACGGCCATACAGAGATAGTTGAGCTGTTGCTTACGAAGGACAGAGCTCGCCATGTAGAGCGTTTCTTGCCATGGGCGGCGTCTCGTGGCCTTACTGATATGGTCAAACTGGCCTTGGACTCACGGGTAATCAATCCAAATTTCCAGGACGGGGAGTTCAGGACCGCCCTACATCATGCAGTAGACCAGGGCCGTGAGGATCTGGCCAGATTGTTGCTACTGCGGAATGAGACGAACCCAAACCTCGAAGACAGCAAAGGGCGAACCCCGCTGATACTCGCAATAGAGAGCGGAAACTTGCTCCTATTCCGCCTTCTATTAGACGATAAAAGGGCGTCTATCGGCAACAGCAACCTTAACGGCATGACACCACTGCATGTTGCATGTAAACACGGAAATCTAACTTTTGTGGAAAGTATACTGTGCCGAGAAGCTGTGAACGTAAACTCCCTGGACGCGGCCTGGCAAACGCCCTTATGTCAGGCCATTAGCTCCAAAAGCGAAGGAATAATACAACTGTTGCTTGACAACAAGAACACTGATCCCAGTCAGCCCTATAACAACAAAGGAAAGACGCCAGTATACATAGCCACTGAGTGCGGCCAGTCCAAGCTCGCTATTGCGCTTATACAGAGATACAAAGCAAACCCAGACTGCTGCTGCGACGAGTACCTAGCAACGCCGTTGATGATCGCGGCTGCGCGCGGTGATCTTGACCTCATGTCTGTCTTACTAAAAGAAGACACAGTGAACATCAACGTATCTAACAAGCTTGGACGCACTGCCCTTGGCGTTGCAGCATGGCACGCACAAGCAAGAGCTGCACTTATGCTTCTTCAACATCCCGATGTCGACGTGCACCACCGGGCAGAAGACGGGACGACGGTTTTCCTAATGGCGGCTCGTGGAGGCCATCCTGAGGTTCTGATAGAGCTGTTAGTAAAGGGTGCTCATCCAGGTGTTTCCAACTGTATCGGAGAGACGCCTATCTATGTCGCCGCAGAGAACGGCCACTATGACGCTGTGTTAATGCTACTAGCGCACGCCGATGTGGACCCCAATCAACCCACATACTACCAGGAAACGCCGTTATCAGTGGCGGCCCGCAAGGGGCACGTGGCTGTGGTGCGCCTCTTACTTGAGCAAGGGGGCGTGGGCTTTAACCCAAAGTGTCAGTTGTCTAAGACGCTACTCTCGATGGTCACCAACAAGACAGTAATACGGCTGTTGATGGACGCTGGTGACAGGTTCTTGGAAGGGCCGTAGGCCGGCGTACGTATTTCAGAATAACATTCGCTAGGAACTATGTATGACAGCTCAAAGTGGTGGTCGAGCTTTAAGACAGCAAGTACTCTTGGAAAGGTCTTGACTGGCTCACAGATAATCGACGCAGCGGCGATATGTGATAGCGTAGGTTACTTTGTTGTTAGTATTTGAGTATGAATTCCTTCCAACTAGTAATCATCCCTCCACAAACCCAACCCAACCCAAGGGCAAATCTCCCTCACCCCCACAATAAACTGAAATATGAATAAATCCCAAGTTAAATAGCAGGTACCACACACTGAAGGAAGGTTCCCACCTAGTGGTCGGCAGTCACACTAGGAAGGATTTTGATGAAGGATTTTGGTATCCCCGAGGGCTATACGTAGGACGCTAGTCTGTATTGGGCAGTTGACACCGGAGGCTGGGTTGGGCCCACTTGTCGGCAGCCCTATAGGGGAGTTTGAATTTTATATAAAAGGGTAGAATTACGGGGTGAAGTTGGAAGGGGAGCAGTGTTAGATATTTGTTGTGTCTGATATTTGGGAACGGAGAATGGGAAAGTCTCTGTATATATGTACAATAAACAATTCAAAGGAGTGGCAGAAACGGTGGCAGAAATAGACCAGTGAAGAAAATGAATCCAAAGGGAAATATAGGAATACATTAGCTGATGGCCTCCGCACAGGGCATCGGTAGCAGGATGATGTCTATCTCCTTACAGTAGGCTGACCAGGTGCCCCGTCGTGAGGAGTGATTGATTGCCGAAATCAGTACGGAGTCTGCTGATGGAACCACTCCATAATGAGCTCCACCTGCGCCTTCTTGGCAATGGGGACGTTTCCAAACGCATTGCCGAGCTCCATGACAAGCTGGGTACCATTAGCACTGTTCGGGCTCCAGCGGGGCAGCGAGCCGCTACCAATGTAAGATCCGCCCTTGTTGGGATCGAGTGTCTTTGCGAAGTTCGCCCAGTAGGCGGACATCTTTTCCTGGATGGCATAGTCCTGCTCCGTGAACGGGTACCTATCCGCGTTGGCGTAGAGAGCATTCAGTGCGTACATGATCTCAGATTGGTGGAAGGCACCCTGGTCTTGGCCTGGTGGGGCATGGGTCCAGTAGTAGGTGTAGAACGAGGAGAAGGCGGCCTTGTACCAGTCGGTGGCGTAGGCCCAGGAGCCAATAAGTGAGGTATCGCGGGCAGCCGCGTTCCAGGCCCTGTCTGCAGTGCTTGCGTTGCCGTGGTCTGGGTACAGCTGGAAATAACGGCTCGATAGATTACCGTACTTGAGAGAGGAGTAGGTCTCGTATTCCTCGACGGTGTAGTCTGTGCTTGGCGAGGCTCCGGACTCATCCTTGGTGTTGCCTGTTATGACAGGTACGTCGTTGGCCGGGCCGTTGATGAGCGTCTCTAGGTATGTGGAGGGAAGAACGTAATCGTCTAGGACAGGCTTGAAAATGAGCGGATAGCCAGCAGACAGCGCAGTGATCGGGTCGATCCACGTCTCGTTGACGCGATCCTGGGAGCCAACGAGAAGCTCCTCCATGGAGAGCGTGCGCAGTTCCTTGATGCTGGAGACGTTGTGGAAAGTAGTGTAGTTGATGCCGTGCGTGATGGCAGCAGACATGTTGACGTAAGAGGTCGCGAGGCCGGCCAGCATAGGATCGTATGGATATCTGATGCCAGACTCAGAGATACCGCCATGGAAATACCCCTTGAACAACGGGCTGTTGACGGCATGATAGACCTGGGACGAGCCGAAAGACTGGCCAGCGACGACCACGCGGTCCGGGTCACCACCAAACTTGGCAATGTTTTTCTGGACCCATTTGAGGACCTCGAGCTGGTCAAGGACACCGTAGTTTCCGGACGTGTTGTGACCGGTGAGCTGGAGACCTTCAGCATTGAGCTCCGGATGAGCAAGGTAACCGAATGCATCGTCGCGACGGTTGAAGGTGATGAGAATGACGTCCTTCAAGGCCATTCCACCGCCGTACCACCAGGCATCATTACTGGTCTCGTCGGACCCCTGGTTCCAGACCATAACAGGGAGTTTGGCTTCCGCAGAGCCGGCATTGGTCCAGAGGTTCAGATTGAGACAGTCTTCGCTGATATTCGATGCGTAGTTGCTGGGACAGGCAGGACCAAAGTCCGTCGCTTTCAGGGTTTCATTCCAGGGCTCACGTGGCTGTGGCGGCTTCCAGCGGTTTTGATACCCAGTGTCCGCGGCGAATGGGACACCCAAGAAGGCGGTCACGTTGGACTCGGAGATACCAAAGTATTTCTCGAGGGTAGACTCGTTGAAATATTTGAAACCTTGGACGGGACCGTAACTCGTCTGGATGGCCTGCTCCCAGAGCTGAGCTTGGGCAATCGCAGCGCTCACAGCTAGAGAGGCGAGGCTCTTGGACAGATGCGGGGCCATCCCGGAATATGTTGCAGGGAGGGAGGTGAAGATGGATGCCAACAAGGACAAAAGTGAACGAGATCTTCAGAGATATATATACTTCGACATCACATCACACGGGCTATACTTATTTAGATGCCTAGCAGACAATCTAATCGGAAGCCCCAAGTCCACGCCAGGACGCGTCAGGCATTGGCGATTTATCCAAGACCATGTCCACATTCCAAGGAAGCTTTTGACCATTATGTCCGACCATCAACATTCAGGCTGGGTGATTCTCCGAAGGGACAAGGTCAACTTGATATGATTGCGGGCGATTTCACCTGGCTCTCGGGGAAAGGACATAGCCTATGCCAGAATCAGAAGATCAGATAACTTTCTCGCCGTTTCTTTCCTGAAGAAGAAAGTGGAGTGAGAGCGTATTCTTACGCAACTTGAATGGGGATCATCGCATCTCGGCCCCTGTCGATCTAGCTGTAAAGCAGTAGTATTGTATTTATATTCTGCTCTGCCGGGCAGGATCGTGACATGCTACCCATTACAGGGCTCGGGCTGTCACCTGAGAGCGTCCTAGTCAATTGAGCGACAGGGAATTGAGGACTGTTCACAAGATACCTTGACACACCTGAAGTTGTCGTGTATTTCGCCAAGAGTCAAAGATGGACCAGCGTGCGCAAGCGAAGCCAATTCCAAAGACGCTCTTCGGCGATAGCGATAGTCACAGTGGGTCGGTCTTACGGAGTCGGGAAATTAGGGCCGATACCAGGTGGAATGTGCACAAGTGCTGCTCAGGATACATTCTTGTGCTTTGTATTTGGCTGTATGAAGAGACGTGGGTTTCGTCTTGATTTTGTGAATCTCTCTGTGTTTTCTTCGCTGTTGCTTGAGATCTCTCAGGCTGTATGAGAGATATGGAAGCGGAGACATCTGTCATTCGAAAGTCACGCCTCTTGCACCGGTGACCAGAGTCAGGCTGCACCGAACGATTCAAGCATTTGTCATGCCACTATGTCTCTTTGGATGCACGACTCAAGATCCGTATGGAGCTAATTTAAAATTTGGTTGTTCTGTATTTGTGTTGTTTGATACGGAATCGGAATAAGCCGACTTACGACCCGGAGGCGATGGGAGGAACATCAACCAATCATGGGTCAGTCCCACTTGACTTTGTCTTCCATCGACTTGTTGAACTTCTTCTTGTTTGTCCACCCCAGCATGAAAGGAAAATGAGCTGGACTTCCACAGCGATAGGGCTGCTCTTTGGTCTCGTCGCCTGCTCCTCATCAGTCACACTATATCAAGACGATGCTAATTACCGCCCCAACAAATCCTCCGCGTAGACTTAAGAGGAAGAGAGTCGGCGTCGCGTGTAATACCTGTCGATCACTGAAGATACGCTGTGACGGAGTCCGACCCCGATGCGGTACTTGCCAACGACGCCGGGATCGCTGTATATTTCAAGATGACGATCCGCGACCACTCAGGTGCATCTATTCTTCCTTCAAAAGGATCGGAACACTGACACTGCGATAGAGATGACGCCAGCCCCGGTATACGAGACGATATGTTACTGATATCGCCCTCTCAACTGAATTATGGCCCACTCTGTCATGAGTCCACTTCTTCTGCTTCGTCTGTTGCAACCAGAGACACGACATATGAACGGGATGATGCCGGCGTGACGGCCATGGGCTTAACTGTCGGTCCACTGGACAGGGAGCAGAACTCATCTAGAGAGTTTTTCGGCGACTCGTCGACAGTGGCCTTTATCCAGGAGTTGCAGCATTCCCTTCCAGCAACTATCACCGCGCCAGGCTCTGGTCACGAGGCGCCTTGTCGCTCAGTCGACCCGCAAAATCATCATCGGGTCCACAAGCTCTCAGCTGAACCTAAGCCATCAATGGAGCTGCTCCCCCCACGCCCACTGGCCGACCATCTGGTCGACTGTTATTTTTCTAAGATACATACGCTTTATCCATTTGTGCATAAGGACGCTTTCTTCAGTGCATACCGGTCACTGTGGGCGCCTGCGGAGTTGGGTCGAAGCACAAACGCAGCTCCTGGTCTGGGGATAGGAGACATAGCTGTCAATCGCACCACTTTCTACTGTGCATTGAATGCCATATTTGCTCTAGGATGTCAGTTCTCCAACGTAGTGCAAACACAGCGAGAAACTACGTCGGAAGCTTTTTATCGTCGTTGCAAGCCAGCGTTAGATGTGGAATATCTGGAAGGGGGAGATCTAGCTGTGTGCCAAACTCTCCTGCTCATCACGCATTACTTACAATGCTCACGAACGCCCAATCGTTGCTGGCATGTTATAGGCATGGCATGTCGGCTAGCTCAAGCGCTGGGGTTGCACTCTGATCTCGGCAATGAACGTCGATCATTTGCCGAAATCCAACTTAGGCGAAGGGTATGGCATGGTTGTGTAATGCTTGACCTGTATGATATCTCCCCTCTGATCTTTCATATACATTCGCTAACTCACAACCTGGTCGACCATATAGAGCCGTCAGCACAATACTTGGACGACCGGCAATGATTGCTCAAAAGCCAGCGACGCCTCTTCCTGAGGCTATTGACGATTGCTATCTATCAGTGGATGCACAAACTTGTAAACAACCTCCCCGTGTGCTATCGCGTGTTGTATGGTTCATTGAGACATTGAAGCTGTACGACACGCTGCGCAAGATTCTGAAATCATTGTATAATAACGCAGGGTCAACGGAAGCGGGGGGCGAGGGTAGCCATATGCCGGCCGGAAACACTTGGCAGATTCAGAGCATTATACAGATTGATGCAGACCTCGAGGAATTCAAGGCCAATCTACCAGAAGCACTCATGTGGGACCATGAAGTCTTACGTGATGGTCCAGACAATTTCCGAAGAGAAAAGTGTTTGCTGCGAGCAAGGTATGCAGATATGACAGCCTGTGATTGAGGTATATTTCTAATTCATGATACCAGATATTCATATTTAAAAATTCTCCTATACCGGCCTATCCTCTCTCAGACACTTCGAAACAGTAACACAGTTTTGTGTAGTGAAAGCAATGACTCCATCCATAACTCTGGAATCCACTCCAGAGTTAACCTTGACTGTTCCATATACTGTGTCAATGCGGCCATTAATCTTATCTCATTAGTACATCAGACTTGCAACACTGACCTTTCCAGCGTTTGGTGCTATAACGTCTTTTGTGAGTATTTGCATGCAATACCGGACCTTCATAACACGCCATTACTGACAGGCCCTTCTTCCATAGATGCATTTACTGCGGGATCTGTTATTATTCTAGCGGGGCTCTCTCAATCGCTCGTGGATAGTGTAACCTGGGAAGCTCTAGAACAATCGTGGCAGAAGTGCCAGTCTTCGTTAGACAGGCTGAGGCTATACAGCAGCACAGCAGAACGCTGTGCTGAGAACTTATGCACGATCAAAGAGCGATGCTCGATTACGTTTCCGCACGTTGAAAAGTCGAGTACAAATATATTCCCACAGGAACAGTCATCTCCTAATCAGTCTCCCACCCTCGAACAGCTGGATAATGACAGGGCAAATGATCTACCATCAGAGGGAACAGATTATCTACCATTTACAGACGACCTCTTTCGCGACCTGGATTTCAATGATGATACATTTTTCGATCCATTCTGGTTTAATCTTCAATTCTAGTCCTATCATTGGCTATTCCTATCTTTCATGCTCCACGAACTTGTGGCAATGGTATGTCTCTATTCATACCTTCCGCCCGACAAGAAGATTATGAAGAGCGAAAGGAAGTTAGGAAGCATTGGGAGTATACTAGAGTCTCCGCACCCTTCGTTACTACCTGGAAACGAAGCCGTCAAAGAAAGCTTCAACGGTCTCAATATCTTCCAGGGCTGTGGCGTGTCCAAGAATGCCATCCGGTCTAAGGACCGCTACCCCACCACTGTTGGTGGAAATGGTATATGCAGCATGGGATGATCGGTCAAAATCATAATATGAACGACCAAGCCTTGGGGTTGCAAAGACCTGGTCACCTTCGGTGACACTATTAGCAATCAAAGTAAAGCACCGCACCATCCCTTTTGGCAGCCTGTCAAGTGATACGGCCAGCTTCTTCATTGATAAACCCAATGTCTTCCGAGTGAGGGTAGGCTGTCCGGTGAATATGAGAACGGACCACGTTCCTGTGTTTCTGATAAGTTGGAAAAGCCGAACCGGAATACGGGAACCGGGAGCATGAACCAAAGCATCTGGTGCTCTCCAGCCAGCAGAAACCATTCCGGTGGACGGGGTCTTGTTAATGATGCTTTCATCATAGTGAATCCCGAGTCCGATGTTAAACTGGATTGACTCGTCAAAGAGCTTGGTAAATAACTCATTCGCGTCGGCATATAGACCCTTGTGAGTCTCTGGAATTTGTCCTGAAATGGTTGCCGAGAATGCTTTGTCCAGCTCAATGAGATGCTGCGCGGCCGGACGCCGCTCGTTGTCATAGGTTCGGAGGATGTCGGTACTATACCAGCCTTTCACCACACCTCCCAATTTCCAGGCCAGATTAACTGCGTCATGAACACCGGTATTCATGCCTTGTGCGGCACCAGAAGAATGTGTATGACATGCGTCGCCTGCCAGCAAGATACGATCGTTGGCAAAGAAGGTATCCGCAACTCGTTGGTTGATGCTGTCATGGAACTCCCAGTGAGAACGCTGGAGGATTGTAGGGACAAGCGCGTCGCTTACCTGTATAAAGTCCACCAGTCCACCTTCTCGATCTCCAATGAGAATGGCTCCATCGACTTGACAGCTTCTTCCTTAGCTTGCTCCTCAGTAAGCGCATTGCCATATTTCGCTAGCATATCATCAGTCATTGCGAAGCCTATGCGTTTCACGCCATGGTCTAATTGGACCCAAAGAACGTTTCCATGGCTCTTCGACTCAATGGACGCAAAACCAAGATCCGCATCCGGCATGTTGGTCTTAAACTGCCCATCAATCCGAACCCACTTGAAGTCCGTGCGATCGCCCTCAAATGGGATGCTTGATAAGCGTCTAACAAGTGAGTGCGCACCATCCGCCCCAACAATAAATTTGCTATAAAACGTCAGAGAGCACCAGGCTAACATTGAAAAGCAGGCCAGACTCACCTGCACACCGTCAAACCTTTGTCAGTATCAGCCTGGCAAATTTTTGAGGCCACTTTATAGTCACTCTCAGTCTGGTTATCAACGGTGTAGTCTTCTAGTGCCCAGCCAATATACGCGCGACCTCCCATCTTCAGATAGGCGTCTCGAATCACATTCTCGGAGTACTTCTGCCGGATATTCAAGCAGTAGTCCAGAAACGTGCCACTCATCCGCTGGAACATCACATGCCAGCCTCGTGATGTCACCCGCTTGCCATCTTTGTACGTGACACTATTACGGCCGATATACCCGATTTGGTTCAACTCATCCAGGAGCTCGAGCTGGTCAAGCATTTCCAGTGTTCGAGGGTATAGGGTTGTCGCTCTGCCGTACATAGCTTGCTGTTCTTTGTCATGCTTCTCTATACCAATACGTCAGCAGCTACATGATAACGAGAAATAAACCATAACTTACCAACAAGCACGGTATCCACGCCCTGCCTGGCAAGACCGTAAGCTACCAGCAGGCCCACGGGTCCACCACCGACAATCAGAACATCCGTTTTGATAGTTGCAGTCATTCTGATTCTCAATAAAAATGAACAAGAGGATGTATATAAGTATCAGCCAGTGTGGTCTATGTCTCTTTTAGTCCAGATGACTTGTCTCCTCTTCCCGTAGAACATCGTGGTTCTTATATACATTCGGCATCCCGGTTAACCGGCACAACAGCTGCACACAGAATGCCGATTTCCGTCAGCAGGACTCATATCTGTACCACCTTGACAATCGAGTAGCTTGTTGTTCACTTGCCGACGTTCCTCTATTTCCTCATCAGGAAGAGGCTATGTATGTATCGCTTCGTAACGGAAGCAAATCTACGCTGTGTTCTGGTGCGGTGAATATGGGTAAGATATGTATCGGAAAGTAACGGTATGTGGGTCCATACCAGATGGGGATGCTGTTTTTTTTAGAACCCTATTTTGAGCAGATAGTCAAATCTTTCGCCCACATTGAGATTTGAGAGGGTCATATCGCGGACGTGATGTCATGTCCATCTCGCAGATTTGTAGATACATCGTAGCAGTTCACCAATACTCTGGGTCGGCAATGATCTTGTGTTCCGAGTCTCGTAAGTACTGTTCCCACAAATATTAGTAGACATCAGTACACTTCCACGCTCGCAAGGTGGTCCACTCGATTTGAACTGAGTAAGAGTGAGTGTAGAACATACGGCTACTAGGACACATGGTGGGGGGTACTAGCATTTCCAGAGTCTGGGGTGTGTTAGAAATAATTAACTCCGTTAATACCACAGGAATGGGAATGTTGTCACAGTTGATAATGCGTTCTTATACGTTCAGCGCATTAATATATAGGTCATCTGAATTGGATACATAGGCTTGTATAAATCTATTGAACCCTTTTTCCATGTTTTCGCCATTAATCGCTTCAAACGCATTTTTATGGGAACGATGGGCAAAGCCGTATCGGTGGACGCAACTTGCAACAGAGTGAATCTTGCATTCATGTTCATATTGAATTGTCAAGTAGGATTGAAGTTGAAACCTCTGCGTACTAAGCCTAATACTTTATGGATATATAGAAAACTCTACTTAGGTATAAGCTGTACTAAGAACGAGGCTGATGTGAGTCATATGAAATTGTTAGGCATTAGGTTGCGTTGTTAATATATGTATACTTTTCAAGTGGAAAGCAATTAAGTATCAAGATAAGCATTTCGTCCATTTGGAAAGACATCCAAGCGTCGATGGACTTGCTCTCCAATGGTTGCCGTACGGAGATGCCTTAGACAAACCAGAGAAGTTCAAGGCCGGATACAATGCACCGGTATCACCATTAATATTTATCTTTTTTCGCGCATCTGAATATCAAGCGAGCAGTTAGCCTATATATTCTATTAACAATTGATATACCTGTGGAAAGTATAACGCACTACCAACTTCTCTATCCACTTAAGGTGTATTATGGACTACGTACTCCGCATGGATTCTTCCATAACTGAAGTAGAGACAGTTGCGATAAAATAATAGTCAAAAACAACCACTCACGAACCCATAAAGGTATCACTCAAGGCTAAACCCTACAAAACCCCATGCTTTCCATAAGTAATGATAATAAACTAGAATGAATCAGGAAAGAAGTCGCTACGCGATAAACGACATAACCTTATGGAATCAGCTACGGTTGGCAAAGATCGAAAAGACATACATACAGTTCGTAGAAACCCGCAGGAACGTCTTTCCAGAGGGAGAGACCAGCTCGATAAATAGATACGGCGGCCCCTGTAGCGACAACTATAATTAACGGGCATAAAAGTACAAGCCAGAGGAATCGTAGGGTTGCAGAAACGATTCGCCTGCCTGGTCAGTGGGTATTGCCTCGGGTACACCAGTGGGTCGTGGTCTTACCAAATCGTGGTAAACATGTTGATTCGCGATTGAGGCTTGAGGATTAACCAACTCGGTTCTAGAACTATAGGAAATAGAGTCGCATATTAGGAGACGGGTAGAAATAAGTGGATTGAGACAAGCGGATTGAAGTGCAAGATGGTATGCTGCCAGTGCGGGCGTTATTATAGAGCGCTTTCTACCCAAATGGAGGGCCTAGCTGTCCTCGAGCTGTCATCTAGAGACTAGCGTCCTTGCAGATGGAATTCGGTGGAAATAGTATTGGCGAGGGGGTCAAATGCATTGATTGGGATGATACTACAGCAATGCAAGATAGAGTAAGCATTTGTTGAGCAATTGAATAATTAAGCCGAGGGCCAAATTGTGGTTGCCTGCTGGGCAATGCTGAAGTCGCTATTTATTCCGAGCTCCCGCGAGACCACGTCAGTGCATCCACGGTAAGCTACAAATTACCTGGTCTCTTGTATTTGAAAAACTTGATTTGCTATTTATGGCGCACTTTACCCGGTTTTGCAGCAGAGAGCTCGCATCCGTCAACCCTACAAGGCGAAACCCTTAACGTACTGTTGGACAAACACTCCAGCTTTTCCATTATCTTTACGTCTTGCGAGCGCACCCAGCAGTGGCATTAAGCTGAAGTGCTACATGGACGCCTTTGTTCTTCAAGTTTAAAGCTTTCTGTTATCAAGCGTTTGTCTTGAAAACTTAACGTCATATGCAGGCTTCGCCACGGCCGCGAGAGAGGATCAGGCAACAGAATAAACTTAGACAAACAAGCAAAAGTCAAGACGCGGGAGGGTCCACTGATTGAGGACCTTGTAGGTGACCTAATGCGTATTCAGCATCTAATATCCGGTTTACTTTCGGAAGGTGCCGATGTTTTCTGCCTGTACTGGCATGTACTTTAAGAGTTTTGTGAAAGAGAACTATGGAGCATGTTTGTCCAGGAGGTACTGCTGGTTATTCTTTCCAATCAAGGTCGGATGATGCATCCAACCTTTTTCCTTTTCTTTGCCAGAAAAGTAGATGTGGACGTATGTTCAATGTGAAACCAATCTTGGGAGGTCAAGTTCAGCCCTATGGGGCTGCATAGCGCTGTCGTAGTGGGGCTCGGCAATGGACAACAGGGATGAGCCGTTGAGTATCTTAGTAGAACTAAGCCTTCTGCTGTATCGCGAGAATATTACCCGAGGTGCTTAGACTCGAAGATGTTATCACACGGTAGTCCGTGATATCAGGGAGAGCAATAGTAATAATGTTAATCTTGCTCATATACGAGCAGTATATCCGACAGCATGGCCACTTGACTATATCTTCGAGGCGTGCCCTTGCTCGTCTATCCGCATAGCAAGCCATGCAAATGTAATTAGCATGAATGCATTGGACGATGAGAGACGCTCTAGCTCCACACTTTCATTTGGCTGTCCACTCCAAGGAACGCTAAAGCTTAGTGACTTTTGGAAATTATTCAACGACCCGGATAATACATTTAGTCCAGCCAACAGGTTTCTGACTATCCTTTTCATTGCAGCTAGCGGTGGTGAACAGCGATTTCAAGCCATCCCACACTACTCACAAGGTACTCGATCCCAATGCTATATCACAGAATCCCGTTGCCTACTATGCTCCGATCCGGCTGCAGCAGATCTATCATCAAACCTTCCATACCATCTTCATCCCACGGCAGTGCGCCATGTCTGCCTTTAACGCCTCCCAGGTTGACCTGAACACGGCGAGCAAAGAAGATGTACTGTGCTTCCTTGCCCTGTCAGAGAATGAGTATAATGGGCACCTCGGTGCACGCATTTCTTCAATCTTTGTGATCCTATTCGTCTCCTCCGCGTTTACCTTCTTTCCCGTCGTAGCCAAAAGCTTGCCGTCCTGGAAAATCCCCTACGGTGTCTACCTGTCCGCCCGTTATTTCGGTACCGGTGTTATTGTCGCAACAGCTTTCATCCATCTTCTAGACCCAGCATATAAGCGAATCGGACCAAAGACTTGCGTCGGAGAATCAGGCTACTGGGGCAAATATTCATGGTGTGCGGCAATCGTGCTAGGCTCAGTCATGATTATCTTCCTCATGGACCTGGCAGCCGAAGTCTATGTCGAGCGCAAGTACGGCGTGCACAGGGACGAAGACGCCACAGGGGCATTCATTCAAGGGGGACACCAAGGTGCTGAGGCAGTCCACAGCTCGTACGATCAGGAGAAGTCTATCCCACTGGGGGAGACAGCGCCCACCTGGAATTCAGACAGTGAATCAGCAATGGCAGAGCGGTCTTTCAAACAACAGATCGCAGCATTCCTCATCCTTGAATTTGGTATCATATTCCACTCCGTCATTATCGGATTGAACCTCGGCGTCACAGGCTCTGAATTCGCAACTCTTTACCCAGTTCTGGTGTTTCACCAATCCTTCGAGGGTCTTGGTATCGGGGCAAGAATGTCGGCTATCCCCTTCGGCAAGCATACCTGGCTGCCCTGGATCCTATGTGCGATGTATGGGCTCACTACGCCAATCTCCATCGCCATCGGTCTCGGGGTTCGTACTACATATAACCCTGGCTCTAAGGTAGCACTGATTGTGCAGGGCGTATTGAATGCTATTTCTGCTGGCGTTCTCATCTACAGTGGACTGGTGGAATTGTTGGCTCGTGACTTTTTGTTTGATCCAGATCGTACTAAGCGTCGGAGCCAGCTATTGTTCATGGTCTTTTGTACTCTGCTGGGCGCTGGCATTATGGCTCTCATCGGGAAGTGGGCGTAAACCTGCGTGGACCGGCTTTCCGGGATTGCTCTTCTTTTCTTATGTTCTTGATCGCTTGCCTTACTCACGTATGCTATAATATCATGGACTGTCAAGCTTGGCTGCATATAATGGTAGAACACCGAATGCTACTGGCGAGAATCATGGTATTTCCATTAGAGGTCTTACAACACCGCTACAGTTGACCTCCATAAATGCATGTTAGCTAAAGGTGCACTTGATATACATTTTTTCCTTTCGACATCTGTATATACAGGATAACGGCAAGCATCCTGACGTTGGCTTCCTGTCTCTGGTTTGACTAGGACTTATTCTCAGTTTTTTTTGGTGCTTTCGTATTACTCAGTTGAACGGGTTGAGGTGGATCACACAAGGCCTCATTGACTCTTGAGGGTGGTATTTGGCTTACCCACTAAAAGGGAGAAATGTGAGAGAGAGCCTGAAGGGAGGGATTGAGAAAGGATGAAGGCTTTCTAAAGTTGCACTAGGACTAGATACGTATATGTACACAGAGTTAGCAAATGATAGAGAAGACGCCAATCTTAGAATCCTTGGATCTTGTTTGACCTATCCAAGACAAGTCGTTGTCCCTTTTTCAGTGACTGATCGTCCAAATCCCACTTGTCAAGCCCCAAGGAGCACAAGCCAAGCGAACTCGTGGACTTGCGCAGGCAAGTCTCTGTAGCGCGTCCAACGTGTTCGCTTTCGCCCTTGCCTCCCGGGAAGTCTGGCGGAGGAACACCCTCACGGAAGTCGTTCCTCTGGCGTTTAACATAATTGGCGTTGGCCTCAGTAACGGGGCATGCTGGGATGTACAGAACGCTTGAATCGCCGCTGCCATTGTGTACCCGGTCAACGGCATGGATGGCTAGTCTAGTTAGATTGTTTCTCTATGACGGGCGGGTAGACTGGATACTTACTATCACAGTGCCAAGCAACATAGTCACCAGGAGCGATTCTAGGAACGTGTACCATCGTTTTGTCAAGTTCCAAATGGGGATGAAGCGTTGTAGTAAGTTCCTGCGCGAATCCGGGAGTTGCACCCTGAAGGTTGCTTGACGTCTTTCTCTCCAAGCGCCAGTTACTTGGGTGTAGGAATGTCTCCGTCGCCATGCGAGAACATCCCTTAGGAGGTGTATTAATTGGCTCGAAAAAAGGTCGCAGTAGGAAGTAAGCCGTAGCTAAGGAGAGCAGAGGATTGACCAGCAATGTTCCCTCATTAGGCCCTGTATGAGACATGCCCAACCATGCTTGAAACATGCGAAACATTGAACACGCTCCAGCGCCGTTGTACAAGTCTGTCTCTGCTAAAACTCGGCAACTGGCTTCCCAGGGGTCGTATTCTTCCCATTCCCCCTGCCAGATTCTCTGGTAAACATTGCCCCGACCGTAGCCGTTATCTTCCCACCTTTCAGGCCCACCCCCATCTACATGAGGGCCTAGTGCAAATCCTGCGTCTCCTGGTTGCCGGATGCGAAGTCTATCTGCGTAGATCAGAGGGTGGGTAGGGGATATCATTGCATCTGGTGAATTGGAGTGCCAAAAGCTCATAAGAAAACGCTGAGCTTCTAGCATGTTTGGGTGTGTACGTGCACGCATCTGAGGCTGTGACCAGTACAGTTCGTATACCTGGGGGTCATGTGGCGGGAATGCTAGAGAAGTGTCAGAAGAGCAGCGATTAGAGGGTAATAGAAGACAGTACCTTTTGTACCTGGATTGGCCTTGACATAGTCCTCGATTTCATCCTTGTACGCTCTGGCTTCATGCTCAGGAACCACACCTCGGATGACGGCAACCCCTCGTTTTCGCAGTTCATCGCGGAACGTCTTTGGTGCGGCATGGATGTCCTTGAACTCGATCGAGGGAATGATATCAGAGCCACGCTGGTGAATCAAGCGAACCTCATCCTTCAATGTATGCAGTAGGCGATGCCAACTTCTTTCGATTTCGTCTTCTCGGCCGGCAATTAGCCTTCTCTTTTGGTGTGCAAACCTTGGAGGCAGAGGTGTTTCCTCTTTTCCGGACAAGGAAACGAAAACCGAGGAGATATCGCCTTCTTTGCGAGGAGCCGCGCTGGATGTGGCTTGTCTTATAAAGCTCCGATGGACTCGGAGGGGCTTCAATGTGTGACGAGCAATAGATAAATGTGAGGGGGTATGAAGAGGCATGTTTAATCGTGCAAAAGATCACTAATTTTGAGTAATTGGATGTAGGGGTACGCATATATCGAGTAGATCTGAGCGGTTGTAATGAGGATGTTGGCTTTGCTCCAGGGGTATTTATAATCTTCGAGACGAAACAACTTCGGTTCTATCGGAACACAGGCTTCTAGGGTAAGAATGCTTTCAATGATTGTGCGGCATTTTTTGAGTGTATACAATAGCGGGTATGCTTCCTAATTAGGAAGGTTTCCGCCAGGCTCCCATTCGCCACCCCGAACCAGTTCCATATAAGTTGTGCAGGCTTGAGGATCAATGAGCATGCTGGTCGGTTTCTCCCAATAATTCAACATTCCTTCTTTACTCTATCCCAAGAGCTGCAGACACGGAACCATACAAATGACTATCAACATGCCGGGAGTTGCAGCCACGTCGACCACGCATGATTTCGCCGGTGTCCTATTCGATTTCGACGGAACAATAATTGACTCCACTGAAGGTATCTCTCTATCATAGGCGTTTTGTTCACCTGTATGCTGATATCTATCCACTAGCTATTGTTGAGAACTGGAGAAGGTTTGCCGTCTCGAAACACCTTAGGTTTGGGTTTTACTCACACCTGAACAGAATCGGCGAGGAAATCGGTATCGACCACGAGGTGATCCTGCAAACTTCGCATGGTAGACGAAGCATCGATGTTCTGAAGGACCTTGATCCTAGCAGAGCAAACTGGGAATGTGAGGCTCTTTCTACACATTTGTGCTTTCCTACCTTTTCACACAGTCCCTAACGAGTACTCAATTTAGACATAAGCGCCATGGAAAGCAAAATACCTTCCCTATGCAAGAATCCTGCCATTGAAATCCCGGGTGCACGAGCTCTTCTCGAGGCACTTAACAACCTTTACACACCTTGGGCAATCGTAACATCAGGCACCAAGGCTCTCCTAAACGGTTGGCTCAATGTCCTGCACTTACCTCGACCTCAAGAGATTACTGTCGCAGAAGATGTCAGAATCGGCAAGCCTGATCCAGAAGGTTACTATAAAGCTCGCACTCGGTTGCTGCAGCATAGCGGGGAAGACGACATAAAGGACGTCCTCGTTGTCGAGGATGCTCCAGCCGGTGTAAAAGCAGGGAAATTGGCTGGATGTTCTGTTTTAGCAGTGACAACCACGCACACTGTCGACCAGTTGAAGGCGGCGGGTGCGGACTGGGTGATACCTGATCATCGATTCGTAGAAGTACGGAGGAAGGAGGGGTTGCAGGGGGCTTTTACCTTTACTTTCAATAGCATCTACTAGAACGACGTATGTACACACTCTAGCAGTACACATTTATATATTTCACGACTTAACATAGAACACATGTAATAAATTCTCATAGTGGAGATTGCCCTCACCTGACCGCCACTTAGTTACAATGCATCCAAATAATCCTAGTTGATTCACAAATTGTAGCCTTTACCTTTTTTTGCTTGTTGACCGGTCTATAGATTGCTATCAGAAGGTTAGGGTTCTCCCCGGCGTGACTAATCCAGCCAAATCGGGCCGCGAATCTCGTATCCAGATCAACAGCCATTCGCAACCTCAACTCTCAACCATCCCCAACTCCCTCCGCAAAACACCATGACGAGGCTCGTCTATACCCCATGGAACAAATCCCTCACACCCAATCAATATGCCTCGGCAGGATGAAACAGTCCCTTCTTCCGAAGCACCAACGGAACCATTCCCGCGTTTCATGGACCTGCCACCCGAACTCCACATCCTTATCGCCAACTTCCTCATCTTCCCCGACTTAGTCCATCTCAAATTGACCTGTGCCTACTTCAATGACCTAATCCCTCCACTCTCGCACCATGAGCTCCTTCAAGCCGAACTCACAGACTTCGCCCTCGCACGCGATGTCTACACCTGTCGGTATTGTCTCCGTCTCCGTCCTGCGGCCAAATTCGCGGATCGGATGCTTCGACGCGGGCGGGGTAGATACGGTCGTGATGCGGAGAGGCGCTTCTGTGTGGAATGTGGGCTGATGCCACGTTCCGGGACGGCGAGGTATGGACCTGGCGCCCAGATTGTGATTCAGGGAGTTATGTTCGTGATATGTATGGTCTGCAGAGAGTTTGCTGTTGGGATGAAGGGTGGGGTTGGTAAGGGGATTGCGATTTGCGAGAAGTGCTGGGAAGAGAGATTGATTCGTGAGAGGGCTTTTCCCTGATGGGGTTAAGTGTGAAGGATCTCATCGACGTGCTTTTCCGTTCGGTTGAGTTTTGACGTGTAGTACGCTGGATTTTGATACCCGGTTATTCTCGGCTGGCGGGATCCGCGCGCATAGTCGTATATTGCTGTGGCAGATCTACGGAGTACGTGCCAGAGTGTTTCCATGTGAGAATTGCTTTGGTTCCTGGTCTGTCGGAATCTCGAGGCTCTCGCCCAAGGAGTAAAAGTTGGCATGTTAGGACCTTCGACGACTGCCGAGGGTATGAGAGTTGTAGATTATTAACGGAGCTATGAAGCTGTACATCTTCTTCCAACGGATGCACTGAGAACGAATGCATTCCAGATATGTGTAAAATGTTTAGATACATATACTAATTTCGCCCTCCGGACCCATACGGTTCATGGCCCTACGATTGTAACAACTCCGTAGCGTTGCGTACCGCATCTATGACAATTTGGTTCGATTTCTAGGTGGGAAAATCAATAATTAGCGTTCATCTCCGGTACCCCAGGGGAAGAGAGAGAAATTACCTCTGCATTGCACCAATTCCCGGCTTTCACGTTGTTCGTAACATCGGGGAAAGTAGGCTCAGGAAACTTGAACGAGGATCGCGAATACACCACATGGGATGAACCTGCTCCTGAACTATTGGAGGCAGCCACGAATTGTCTCTCAAATTTTCTGTACTTCTGGTTAATATCCTGGATCTTCTTATCTTCCTGGTAGGTTGAAGACGTTATCGTCGTATTTTTTCCGGCCAGCGTTGCTGCAAGGTCTGCTGCATCCGTGTCAAACTGAACAGCCACCCGATGTAGCTCTGCAATTGTATCTTTCAATGATTGGAGATTGACAGTACAGGAATCTTGCCCTTCTTGATCGACTTCGGCTGATGTTGCTTTATTCAATGTGTCTTCCAGCTCGTCTAGATAACCATCCAATGCTACAGCGTATGCCGTGGTATTGAAGGCAATGACCGGCTCGTCTGCTAAGTGCGTTGCAGCCAGCGCCCACAGTTTAGCACTTGCAGTATGATACTCGTAGGTTGGGTCCCCGAAAGTGTCCATCCATTGTATATTGTCGAAGTCCGAGTGCCAGTGGAAGATAGGATCCGTTGGACCAGGAGCAAAGCCAAGGTTGAGGGAGGCAAACCCATTTGAAACGAAACTATTAGTGTCCCCTCCACCTTCTGGCTCTAGCTGACCACCCCATACATCCATGATGCTCTGTCCGGGTTGACTCTGGTCGGGGGAGAGAACCTTCTCAGCGGCAGAATAGATGACGTCGCGTAGAAGAGGACTGGATTTGGCGAAGAGCTTTGTGCCAGTAGCAGCAGTCTCAATTTCAAGATAAGCGACAGCCGCTTCAGACAACCACGATAGATTTTCCTTTAGCCAGCGGGAGGACCCCAAGCCTCCTGTCTCATGGCCATCCCAACTGACAAATACTATGGTTCTGAATGGTCTCCAACCTTTCTTCATAGCGGTACCAAGGGTACGGATGACTTCATTTAGGGCTGCAGAACCACTATTTGGGTCGCCAGCACCAGCAGCCCACGCATCACGATGGTTTCCTAGGATGATCACTTCGTCCTCAATCTCGCCTTTTATCGTCCCGACAACATTGTATACAGAGACATTGTAGCTCTGGAATGTGTTCACTAGGTTCATGGTCAAGCCGTCCGGTGATGGTCCAACGTTGTAATTGACCCCTAGATATCCTAGCTGGCCTCCCTGCCAAGCGGTGCTGAGCTCGCTCGCCTGTGGCCCATGGCCGTTAAGAGCCTTGAGAAATGGGAGGGCATCGGAGTATGAGATTGGTATGACAGGGATCTTTAGTGAAGGATCGATGCTAGGGAGGCCCATTCGCCGCACCATGCTGCTTGGTGCCCTAGCCGGGCCTTCAGGGAACGGCAAGTAGCCATGTGCTTCGGTGACATTTTCGTCAAACTGCGGGTCGAGATAAACTACCAAGCCTACCATGTCTCTTTTCTGTGCTCCACGTAGCGCGCTAAAGATGTACGGTTCACCTTGTTTCATAATCCCAATCTTGCCACTCACATCGATATTGGATTGTTGTAGCTCATCGTAGTCTGAATCCGTACCATAATTCACAAACACAAAGGGTACCGTAACATTTGCACTTGGTGTACTGGAGAAGAATTGAGGAGTGCTAATAATCTTTCCACTGATGGGGTTCACGAAGGTCGAACCTTCGTTCAGGCTAGCGTTGAATGACACCGTGTCGTCGTCGTTCCCAGGCTTCCGCTCGAGTAAAGCAAGCCTTTGATACAGCGGCAGGGTGGGCCCATCTGCAACTGGATATGACTTGATGGAAATGTTCTCAATTCCAAATTCGCGCCATTTGTCTTGAGTCCACTCAGCGAGCGGTTCTCCTTGGCCCACAAAATGTGGCTCGGACGTATAGTGAAGATTCCACTCGCGGGCCTTTTGCTCATCGGGGCCATTCAGAATGATCGCCTGAAGATCACTGGATGGAACGCTGTTTCGGGATCGGGTGTCGAGCGAATGACCATGTCTGATCAGAGATGGAGATGGGATAGGGGATCGGGCAGAGCTGGCATTAACACCAACAGATATCTGAGTAAGCAAAAGTGACATTGCTATGCACTTAAGTGCACCCAGTATAGTGAAAAATGCCGGCTGCTTCTTTCCAACCGCGTTAGTCGGCTTTGCTTGCAGATGCAGCATGTTGCAGAGCTTTTTTGATATTTTTTATCTTTATCCTTTCCTTGTTTTACTGGGCCATTTCCTGCAATCGAGTGCTATGGAGTATCCCATGAAAGAATTATTGCATGCAGTGCATAGCTCTTTCAATGAATAGGATGGGCATCTGCTAGCTTTAATTCGACTTAGTGTTGACCTCCCTGAGAATCTGTGCCTGCATTCTTCCTCTTTCATTTTTCAACATCCCCCTTGCAGCTTGCGCCGAAGGCCTGGTCCCTTACCCCAGCTTCGTTCACTGGTAATTAGTAGTATTCAGACGTGTCATTTACCGGAAGGAGGCTCGTCCCTTGCATCGACTTCGGTATTCTCCCAACAATATATCATGTGTCTCGAAGCTACTTCTACTGGAATGTATATCGCTTCTAGCCGATAGGCCGGATAAGGTTTCTAGATATTCACCACTATCATCCTTGGCTACATACAATTCAGTTGCCGCTGGAATGCTGGTGCAGGGGGCATCGAATATCGAAATCGCTACCGAGAGGTGGTGGACTTCAGCCAGCCGTTCAATTCGTATGCTATTTAGTAGTATACACTTCGAGTAGTAGACCCAAGGCTGACAATCCAGGTCCAAACTGTTCCTGAAGCAACAGTTTCTCAAGGGGACGATTTTCAACTCTCACGGGCACCACCATCGCATGAATTAAATCGGACTATAGTGTCACCTCACGAAGATAGAAGTGGATTATGCGAAGTTCCGTTTTACTTTAAGTGATATTATAGCAATTGTCTGATCTGGTTACGGGAACTGTATAAGTATTGTATACTTCCTTTATAGTTTAGTGTAGCTTAGTATATAGGGTTTAGAATAATATGTACTGCTATAAATATTCTGAAAATTGTTTGTTTGGATTGTCACAAGGTACCATACAATCGAATAATGATTCTGTAGAGCGCGACCAAATATAGGACTGTGGAGCTTGTAGAATAAAAGACAGAAACTAGGGTCTTATGATGAATTCGAATGATATTATGACTTGACTAACTTATCGACATTCCACGCTGGAGGGTGTTTGTGTGACTGAGGCACAGCGGTGGTAGTACCTACTAGTAGAAGCACATTGTAGTTAATAGAGGAGACGACTTGAGAATGATCCATAGTTCCTTTTATTTCACGTCATCTATTCACCCCATACATCATGATCGAATGGAATGAATCTTTCAATTCCTTTTGTTTCCTGGGCTGTATGAATAGGGCCTCACCGTCACGTACATAGGCAACCGATTCTTCACTGACCACCTTCTTGTGCTCTTTTCACTGTCTCCTACCTTCTGTTTCTTATAAAAGACGTGTCAATCCCCCCTCCCACTTTCTCTTTCTATCCTATCTCCTCTCAGAGTCTTTATTCGACGAGGCCAGGTTTTTCAGGGATCCTGAGATTTTTCATGCACTTTTGGTTCTGTCCAGCGTGAACAGGGTTCTTATGGTGGGGGGCTACAAACAGCTCTGCCCTCCAGTCTTCGCCGAAGAGGGCCAGAGGGTATGGGCTACCTCGGCTTTTGAACGGCTTCATGTCGCGGGATATCCTTCTGTGATGTTGGATACCCAATATCGCTCACATGCTCGTCTCTACGCCCCTACTTCCGAAGTATTCTACAACGGACAGGTCCGGTCAGCTCATGTGATTCATTCCATGAAGTAAACCGCCTGTTTAACGGCGCAGTTACTGTGAGGTGGAGAAATTCCACATGGCATCTCCCTCAAGAGATTGGGTTCGTGAATTGCGCAGGCCAGACATCCCGCGATGCTTCCAAGTCGATACTCAACCATGGGGAAGCAGAGATCGCTAAGATTATCTGCCTAGCGAGAGTCATAAGGCAACAGCCGCAATACGGTCGAAACATCCTGATAGTCTCTCCATACAAGGCGCAAGTAGCTTTAACCACGCAGAAATGGGAAGAAACATACCCAGGACTGGAGACAAAGCCACGCATCCAGGCCGTCGATGGAGTGCAGGGGGCTGAGGGGGATGTTGTACTTGTCATGCTCACGACAAACAGCGTATATCCGGGCTTTGTGGCCTCATCACGTCGCATCAACGTCATGACATCGAGGGCAAAGCACGGAAATTGGGTTTGGGTATCTGGACAGGTCATCCGCGAACACGCTCCTCAACTCCAGGCAGTGATGATGCAATATCGGGAGACTATGTGCTCCTTTGCACTGAGGAGAGAAACTAGTCATGTACTTTCGTCAAATACAAACTGCGCCTTGACACCGTACCCCGAGCGCATTACTCACCTACTTACCTACCTCCCTACTTATGACGTTAGGGTCGCACCTTCCACGAGACCCTAATTGAGGAAATACAAACTTCTCCTCCTTTCTCTCTCTGCTTCTCTTATGCCACCCTCTTCACAACTACCTATCACTCTGCTTTTATTCGAACCTATGAGGTTCTCAGATAACGCTCACCTCACCCTCGCCCCTGAGACCTGTGCCCACTGCCGACCGACCAGGTCTATCTGCCATGAAACCAGCTCCTGAGTTTGAACAGGCAGGACGCCTGGAATTAATTAAACAGATCTCTGAGACTGGTGTCAGTGAGATCGACTCTGTTATATGGGCCTTTCTCTCGCTGGCGGATATGAACAGGCTTCAGCTTTTTAGCCCAATATGCGAAGAATCCAGAAACTTGCTTTGTTTACTCAGGCTACCTTAGGCGGGATTATTACCCAGCATTGAGGAATTGTACGTTATGATCCCCACCAACTGAGTGCGAGCGTCCCACAACTCGTTCAGCCAAGGCCGCAGATGACACTGCCAACCGCGATCAACACAGATGTATCGTCACCAAAGCCTGGGAACCTCTGCAAATTGCAGATCTGATATCCTTTGCTCTCGGCGTCCGTCATCAACGCAAGACAGAGAGGGATAAATTTTGAGACATTCTCTCTTGCTTCTGGTCCGCTGACAGACTCAAAAGATGGCAATCAGCAGTTTTTGAAACGGCACTGAGACAACGAAGAACCTACTATGTATGTGCGCACATGTCCACCGTTTATGGAACACAGCCCGTTTTGCACTTCGGCCGATCGAATTGGGGCTCGAGTTTTACTGCTTGCCTGATGCACTAAAAAGGGAGGTAAAGCCTTGTAACAAATCTATCATCGGACGGTACGTTGCCTCTCCAAACTGCGTACTGTGCGACAGTTACACCCATGAGTTGATTAAACCTGGCCGCGCCATTAAAATCACAACCTCTGATCCTGAAAAATTGCCACTGCTATCCTTTGAGGTCCTTGAAATGCAGTGGTATCTGCAGCCTTAACTTGGGACTTCCCTGGTAATAGGATCTCCAGACTTTATGCATATGCAAAGGCTACAACCTTATGTGTTTGCTGTCATCCCCTTACATAACTGTTCTTATTGTGCTTCCCGCCAAGCCTGCCCAAATTAAGGGCTGCCTTAGTGTCTCTGGTGCGGACATTTTCAAAATAATAGGGCAGCCGAGAGAGGAAGTTGTGCCTTTATCCCTGAAATGTTAGGTGTAACTTGCTGGCTGGCTGCCGTTGGATTCACCATCTCCCATGTTAGATACAACTTACATATATCTCGTTGCATCGATCTGTTTCGGTTCTCATATTCCAGGATGCATTCTACGGTGTGTGGGGTTTCCTGCTTTCGTCAGTACTCCTGTGCCCACAGGCAGCATTCGTGCCTTTCCCCCTCTTCGATATATATTTGAATAACCACAGATAATATTAGTTGCCAATATTTATGGTAATTTCAGTCATCTATTCCGCTAATGCCCTCCATTCTGGTAATGACCACAGCGCCAGGGTGACCTCTAGTGTACTATTATGTGACGAACTGAGGGAATGGTCCAACACCGCTAACTAAAACCCTTCGTGATATTCGTTAAAATATTACTTGACCCTCCGCCACCAGAACGCTAGATTGAACTATCTGTAGGGTCCTGTTTAAAATGCTATCTATTCAGAGGTTTTTAGTGGGGGAAACATTTAAAATATTAAACCATTTACGAATAGTATCAATTTCGCAAGACAGCACACGAGATGTACGGTTTATGTATTTCCAGATGAAGCAATGATTCAAGGTGTGTTTGATCTTTCTACGTCAAATATTCAAGGGTTTCGTCCGTAGCATGACAGAGATCTTAGTGCCCAGCAAATGCCAGGAGGCCAAGAAGACCTGCTCCAAAAAGCCCAGTCTGTAGCTCCGCTGACTTGCCCGCTGCATTTGTAGTCGCCGCTGCAGAATTCGAGCCAGTAGAGCTGCCTGTGGCAGACGCAGTTCCATCCGTCGAAGTGACTGACATCGTTCCACTGCTCGAAGTCGTACTAGGGGAAGTTTTGCCGGCCGAGTTGGATGTGGCAGAGGGAGAGGAGTCAGCAGTATACGTGGTCGAGGTAAACGAGCACTCTTGGATAAGGTCATTGGCGTCTACAGGATTTAGTACATCTGCCGTTTCATCTCAATGGGGGAAAATGTACCGTTGTCCTTGCCGTCTTTGCTGTACTTGTCCAGGCACGCAGCACAATTCGGAATGCTAGTCGATGCCTGGGGATCATCACAGACACATTTCAACTCAGCTGCCTCATCGGTATTGCTGCTATCGCAAGTGGACGTCAGGCTGACCACGGGGGCGCAAACATCCTTGCACTGGGCCGGGACATCACTTGACTCTATATCTTGAGCCACGATGGATCCAGCAAAAGCCAGCACGGAGAAGATCAATAGCGAGCGCATTGTGATTAACCGGGTACAATCAAGCTGCGATCTGCTCGGATGGTGAAATCCGCTCAAAGATGCTAGGAGTAGGTTCAAATTTTCACAACGGCCGTCCAGTTCGAGAGAAAATATCTCGCATATCTATAGGTTTCAATGCTCGCTTTTAGGACTTTCTGTCGCATCTATTAGAATAGGATCGTCATTGCCACAATGCTCTGAGCCTCTGTATGACGTGGGGAGAAATGTATTCGGCCAGTCAAAAGATTATGTTAGGTAATCCCCTATTCAGAACTCCCGAACCGAGGTGGCACGCATGAATGAGAGACCAATGAGTTTGAATTAGAGAAGTCTTTCATTCCTGAACTCCTTCTTCCCGGAAAATGAATCTGGCCGACCCATGTCCACCAGATGTGCCGGAGCTGGAACTTCCCGTGGGAACCGATCGCCTAGATGAAACCGCTTGCAAATGCTGGGCTAGCACAAGGGTCACCGCTGCCCCCCATCTTATTTGCCCTTTTCAATGCTGACCTGGTCGATCATCCTGTAGATTACCATGAAGGCGCCTCAGCGTTCAGTGACAACTACTTCCGCTGGCGAGTGGGCAGCTTGGCTGAGGCCAACCTGGCCAAGATCCAGTCCGAACACATCCTTCGCATTGAGGAATGGTCGCGGTGGACCGGATCCTGCTTTGCAGCTGAGAAAACCGAGCTGATACACCTTATTAGGAAGAAACGAGAGCACTTGTAGGGACAAATTATCGTGAATAACACGATCGTTTGACCTTCGGCCACAGTAAGGCTACTGGGTGTGGTGTTTGACCAGGAGCTTCGGTGGAAACATCACGTTCAGCAACCTGTGTCAAACGAGTAACCAATATTTTGGAAAAAGAAAAAAAAAAAAAAAAAAAAAAAAAAAAAAAAAAAAAAAAAAAAAAAAAAAAAAAAAAAAAAAAAAAAAAAAAAAAAAAAAAAAAAAAA